GACCAAGGCCTTCTGGCCCATTTTCTGTCTCTCAGGAGGACTCCCTACTCCCAGCTACCATCAGTATCCACAATACCTGGCTTTTTGGAAGAAGAAAAATTGTTAAAAATCCCTTTCTTCTCCCTATCTTGGCTCCCACTCCCAATTTCCTGCCTATACTGTTAGTGGATTCTATTGAATGAAGAATTTGGCTCTATTCCAGTGTCCTTGCCACAAACCCTTGCAGTCCCTACAATCCTGGGTGATAAATCTAACATTAGGGAGCTAGTGATGCTGAGAAAGATCAGTTGGTATATGATTTCTGGGCTCAGCCTTTTCAATTTACAAGTATCCCTTTCCCATTTCTCCTCTTTAATTATAGGGAAAGTTGTTTTACTAATATTGGCTTTGTATTGCAAGAAAAAAAGCAAAATTAACTAGATGATACTATTGTAGGAATGTAGTAGTTAAAATCAGAATTAGAGTTTTGTTTAAGAAAAGACTTTCTTTTTCAAAAATAATTAAAAATATTACTAAGGAATCATCATTTTTTTTAGGTATAACAATAATGTGATTATGTTAAAGAGTCCTTTTAGAGATACACACTGAAGTGTTTCTGGAAGAAATGATGTTATGTGGAATCTGCTTCATAATAATAGGGAATGAGTGAAGTGGGTGGAGTGTAGATGAAACAAGATAAGTTATGAGTTGATAATGGTTGAAACTGGGTGATGAGTACATAGGAGTTCATTATACCATTCTGTCTCTTTTTGTATCTATTTAAAAATTTCCATTTCAAATGGAAAGTTAAGAAAAATAATGGTAAAATTATTATATGATGCATATACTGAAAAGGACTAATATCCAAAATATAGGAAGTATGTTAATAGGAGTAGTGGTGAAGTGTGTAGAGCCAGATTGGCTGAGTGTGACTTTTTCCTCTGCTACTCCCTAGCACTGTACCTCCCAGCAAGTTACTTAACTTCTCTGTGACATAATTTTCTCATTTGTATATTGAAGATAAGAATAGTATATACTTTGTACAGTTGCCATCAGAATTACAGAAATTAATACAAGAAAAACACAATAAATGTATTAATATTAAAGGTAAATGCTGCAGTAGAAAAATAGGGAAAGCCCAGGAATAAGCAGTGTGCAAAAAAGGAAACTCAAATGCCTCATACACGTGTTTTTCTCACTAGTAATCAAAGATACAGAAATCGAAACAAGAGATACATTTTATACTCATCATATTGGACAAAAATAATCTGAAAATACACCAAGTGTAGGCGAGGATGTAGAGTAATGGAAAACCTCTTCATATCTTTTGGGTGGGAGTATAAAATGGTACTGTTATTTGGAAAGTAGTTTGACACTATTTAGTTGAATTGAAAAATATCTATATTCCATGATTTAGGATTATCATTCTAATTGTATTTCTTAGAGAGACCTCCAAGATTCTAAGTGGAATACTGACCCTCCCCCCACCTTTATAGCTGTCAGTAGATCCCTTTATCCAGGCATTTGTAATGAATAACTACACTGTATCCCCATCTGTTTCTTGAGTGAAAGTTTTTAAAGTCTGATGCCTTCTCTGTTGTGGGATGAGGTCAGCTAGAAACTTGAGGACATGAGAATCAAGTATCTATTTGTTCATTTCATCTAGTCTCATTCCCTGAGACTTATATAGACTTATACAACATCCAAACTCCTCAGCCTGGTATTACACCCTCCCCACCCTCCACCATCCACCCATCATTTATCTACTCTTTCCTATGTCAGTTCCCAGTTTGAACCTTCCTGTTTTAACAGATCTATCCCATAATCGTCTACTTCTGTTCCAGCTTATTTCAGCTTCTAATCTTGGCATACACTTTCTACCTGGAATTCTTTCTCTTTGTCTAGTCTATGATATCCTTCACATATGAGTTTAAATTATACTTTTCTAAGAAATATTTTTTATCACTGAAACCCATACTAGTTTTCATTCTGCTGAGATCCTCTTTTGGATATCATTATATACTATATTACTATTGATCTTTTGGGGCCTTAAATTATGTGTAACTCTTTCATGTGATCTACCACATAGGACAAATACAAGGTAAGATGCCCCGTCCCACCCCCCAGAAATTAGCCTTCAGAAAAAAAGGATTATCTCTGTATTTGACTTTATAAAGTTTTTCTTGTTACTGGACTGTTAGTTAAATTATAATCATTTCATGAAAAAGGATGACTGAATTTGAGTCACCATCTTCTATTTCCATTTTTATCAGTTTTTATAGAGACCAACTGACATAATTGGTTAAACAAAAAAGACCAAAAACTTAAGAAAGTTTTAGTTATTGTTTTTAAGAATTTAACCTCCTAATTTAATGTGTTAAATATAATTGTATATAAGTGGTAATCACACTAAATTTTTTTTTTTAAATCATTCACATCATTTATAAGACACACAGACAGCAAGTGGTCACATTATGGAAATCATAAATAAATACCAATAGAATGAATGAAAAAAAAAATCCAGTGCTATGCAACTGGATTCTTGTAGCTGGGGGTGAAACTTCCAGTGACTGCATGTATTCAGAAAAGTGCTGTTGTATCTCAGAAATCTTATAAAGAAATGGAGAGGATGTTTTCTAGAATATTACTTAAACAGTAGCTTTATTTTTTAAAATTAGCTTTATTGATGAAAAAGACATTAATGTCAAAGATGCAAAGAGTTTGAATAACATGGCTTTATGAAATGGAAAAGAAAAAACGTTAGGTTAGTGAATTAGACATACTGCTTAATTTTAAAAGTGTATGTATAAATAAATTTCTAAAAGTTTATATGTTCAAGAGGACCACAAAGCTTCTCTTCCTTCGTTCCTCTCTTCCATCCATCTGGTATCATTTGGGAAAATTTGGGGACTGACTTATGTTAGCTGGATACGACATGTCTTAACCAAGTTCTTACAGGACAAGCATGTCTATTTTTTGTTTCTTCCTTTTCACTTGGATAACTTCTGTTCTTCCTAAAACTCAGCATAGATGTTATTGTCTCAGAGAAGTTCCTTGGCATTGCTAGTCTGGATTACTTGCTTATCTCTGTCACAGCGTTGATATATAATACATTGTCTCCCCTGCTGAATTGCTTGAACTTGAAGCTCAAGGTTGTGCTTTTATCTTGAGATACCAAGAACTTAAGCACAGCTCCTGGAATGAAATGGTTGCTCAAGAAGTAACAACAGAATGAATATATGGTGTTAGACTTTTTTTTTTTTCCCTCTCCGTGGTGTCTGGAATGTATTAAGCACAGATGAGATGTTGTTTAGTAAATATTTATTAAATTATTAACAAATTAAGTTTCAAGATATGTTTCAAAGAAGGAATTAATCAAGCCTTTATAAGTGAGGGTGGAAAGAGAATTCAGGTAGATGTGCCCTAGTCTCTGGAATGACATTGAGGCTGTCCTCCCTTTCTGAAAGCCTTCCTTTAAAAATCCAGATGAGGGAGAAAGCTCCTTGACACTGAAGCTGGTTTTTTGCATTGGGGAGATTAAAGTAAAAGCTTTTGCGTATTCCAAAGGACAGCACTGTGCACATCACATGTGAGTATTAAAGGATGAGATGGAAAAAAGCCAAATTTAATTACTGAGATGGTTACAATAATCCCATTTTTCTCATTCAATTCACAGTCTAGGAAGGGCCTTAATCCAAATAGATTCCCCCACCCCCACTCCTACCCTGTCCCAAGGGACCAAAACCTTTCCCTGTCTCATTACAGCTTTGTGAAAAATCTGAAGTAAAGCTGTTCATTGAACTATTTTCAGTGCAATGTACAAAGATATTATGATTGGCAGGTAGGTGATGCCATCAGAGAGATTGACTGTGGTCTCACAGCACATGCAATGTCAATTAATAATTGCAATTTCTTTTTTGAGTAAAAAACACAAATACTCAGATTTCATTTTGTTTATTCAGTTCTATCCTTTTTAACTTAAACACATCTATTTTCTGGTTCCAACAATATGTTTGTTTCCTTAATATGTATGTGAAGTGGCTTCAGTGAAAGTACTGAGATAGGTTAGGTCATTGTTGAGTGGTCTCTAGTCATTGAAATAAGCAGCCAGAAATGTTAAGGAGAACAGGAATAAATTTGCTACCAGGGAGGGGCTATTTTCATCGGACTTGAAGGATGATGGCTTGGGTGCCCCTGTCTACTCTTGTTGGGTCCTTATCTTTGCAATTGGAGCTCTTTTTTATTCCCAGTATACTTGGAGTTGAGTTTTAGGGGATTGGCTTACGGTGTGATAATACTTGTTAGTGATTGATTAATGTAAATTAATTAATTTATAATAAAACTTATAACTGCCCAGTAACATACTATTTGAATCTGGCCACTCTGCATTTTGTTGCTTTAGGATATTCTATGGGAAGCATTCAATAACCTGAAGGTTGTCAGGTGAATATGGAGTCTGAGCAGAGATAGGTAGTGGGTGGAGGATGGATTTGCAGGCTGATCTTACTAACTAGTATCATCAAAGTTTGGCAACCTGATTTCTCCTATAGAAATGTACCTATCAAGGGGATGAGAATCCTGGAATGTGCTAGTTAGGCCACTGTTTTATCGTCACAGTCTCAGAGGCAACACTGACTCGTTACCCTTTTCTGTACTCCATGCAAGCTATGGATACTCTTTTGTTCTCATGGTCTTTCTTCAGACACCTTAGAAAGATTTATTAGCCTGCAGCTTTCTTTCATATTCAGTAAAGTATTAGTAAAAGTTCCTGGTCTTATTTTTGTTTTTGTTTTTCTGATTTTAAAGTATCTTTTGCTGGTGTTTAATCTAACCTATTATGAGTTGAGTTTGTAAAGTTAGGATTCAGAGACTTGGAAGTGTGTGTTGTTGATTGTCCCTCAAACTGACTACCAGGGACACGGTGTTCTGTTGACATGCCATGCCTTCCCTGGCCAAATCGTCTTCTGAGAGCCATGATATATGAAGAAGAGAAGATTACTCTGTGTCCTATCTTTTGGCAGATCTCTGACATCTACATTAGTGGAGAGTCAGGGGATATGTCCGCCAAGGAGAAGCTGCTCCTCTGGACCCAGAAGGTGACAGCTGGTTATACAGGAATCAAATGCACCAACTTTTCCTCCTGTTGGAGTGATGGGAAGATGTTCAATGCACTTATTCACCGATACAGGTAAATGCAGTGAAATTTCAGTGTGCCTGGAGGGGACTCTTCTCATCTCCTTTGTAATTAGTTATAATGTCACCTTCTCCCTCAACCAGGAGTCAAGAATCTGATTCATTTTATTCATTTAAAAAAGGAATGTGTACTGAACTCCTGGTGTTCTAGGCACTGGGCACCAATAGCAGTGAACAAACCAGCAAAAGTTCTTGCTCTCACCAAGATTATTTGTTTATTAAGCAATACACAAATAAATGTATGCTGTCATACAGTGATAAGTGCAGTAGAGGGATAGAACGTGACAGGGGTTGTGGTATTTTGGACAGAGGGTCGGAGATGGCCTCTCTGATGAGGATGTTGGAGCAGAGCTGTGAGGGCGTGAGCCATGCAGGCATCTGGGGTCAGAGTGTTTCACTCAGAGGAAATAGAGAGTACGAGGGCCTGACGTGGGGCTTGCTTGGAATGCTGAGGAATAGCAGGTGGCTAGAGTTAGATGAGTGAGGAAGGTAGGAATTTTGACTGATAAAAATCAAAATTATTGTACTCTTAGTGGTCATAAACATGCCCCAATGTTCACTCTGTACTAGCTTATGATACCTTTCCCATGAAATCGAACAAGGCTACTGTTGTGTAAGTTTTGAATTAGGGAGCACTGGGCTCTTGGCATGTATTCATATTTAAAAATGGAATTAGAGCCTTTCTAAACCTCTTGTTTTCTCTTTGAGTCAATCTGTTTTTTAGCTCTGGGTATTTTTTAAGAGGTTTTCTTTGTGTGAGCTCAGTAGTGGCATGTAGATGGTGAACCTTTCATGTGCATTGGTGGACTTTTACAGACCTGATCTGATAGACATGGAGAGGGTGCAAATCCAAAGTAACCGAGAAAATCTGGAACAGGCTTTTGAAGTGGCAGAAAGACTGGGGGTCACCAGGCTTTTGGATGCAGAAGGTGAGACCCAACTGAAGTATGTTTAGCAATATTCAGTATTCCTTCTCCAGGCAGGTTCCTTTGTCCTACTAAGAAATTTCTTATCCTTTCTCTCAGATGTGGATGTGCCATCTCCAGATGAAAAGTCTGTAATCACTTACGTGTCTTCGATTTATGATGCGTTCCCTAAAGTCCCTGAGGGTGGAGAAGGGATCAGTGCTACGGTAAAAGAACACTTTTCTTAAAATACCTTCTACGTTGCTTTGTTTGGGTGGAATGTATTGATTAGACCATATTTCTTAAGTGCTCATTGTATACAGAGCACTTTTATGCAGAGCAAACTGAATCTACATCATATTTATACACAGTCATTGTCCTTGGTCCCTGGGAATGAGTCTGTCGCTAATTTTGTCGCATCCAGCCTAGACTGTTCTAGGTGTCAGGAAATTAAATCCCATCTTGAGAGCCCTTGAGGAGCTTTGAAACTGGGACTCTGAGCATTAAACTGAACCACTGGGTAGACAGTTAGAAGAAAAGGATTTTATGTAGTTTGGGGTGGCCTGAGTTACTTTCTGCCATGCTTGTTTTGTGTACTGCTAATCAGAAGGTGTGTGATATTTACCTTTTGACATTAGGAAGTAGACTCCAGGTGGCAAGAATACCAAAGCCGAGTGGACTCCCTCATTCCCTGGATCAAACAACATACAATACTGATGTCAGATAAATCTTTTCCCCAGAATCCTGTTGAACTAAAGGTAAAATCATTGCTTTTTTATAAATTCATTCTAGAGAGTAAGTCTCAGAGTTTGTTGTTCCTGGTTTCTGGGTGAGGTGGTATGAAAAATTTGGGCCAGGTTGCTTGCATTTACTCATTCATTTACCAAATATTAATTTTGTAGGCACTTTATAACCAATATATACACTTCAAAGAAACAGAAATTCTAGCCAAGGAGAGAGAAAAAGGAAGAATTGAAGAGTTGTATAAATTATTGGAGGTAAGGAAGCTTATCCTTTGCCGAGACTTAGGGTGTGCTGGTTTGCCCTGTTGTCGCTTCTATATTAGATCCCCTGCACCCTCTTCCCAACCTGCATTAACAGCAATATGCTAGGGGTACAGATCTAGCGTCACTCTCGGGCTGGCCTTGAAAATTTGTGGAAAGGGGCGGTAGCAACCATCTGTATTTTTTAAAGGGCCTATTGAAAAGTGACATACATTTATTCAGAAACCTTGAGTTTTGTGGATGAGTTTTCCACTTTCTAGAGGGAAGCTAAGTGTTTCCCTGGGATGGAAAGAAAAGAGACTTTCATTCACACTTTGTTCTTAGAGAATTTGAAGCTGTGGAGATGAGCATTTGACCTTTCCAGAATGGGAGTTACTGAGAGGATAGAAGTTACATAAAATGCAGAAAGAATGGAAGGAGTTAGAGCAGATAGTCCCTGTATTTTAGATATTATTATTTTGCTCTCACCTCAGGGTGAGGTACTGCTAAATATTCCATTTTTTTCTCATATTAGACAACTGGAAAATTTGTTGAATGGCTGGGTAAAGAAGCAAGAAGTGATGTGCAAAAAATAAATTAAAACCGGGGCCTGAGGTCATGGCTGTGTTTTGGACTAAAAGAGTATCTCTGGGTTTTTTAGGTGTGGATTGAATTTGGCCGAATTAAACTGCCTCAGGGTTATCACCCTAATGATGTAGAGGAAGAGTGGGGAAAGCTCATCATTGAGATGCTGGAGCGAGAAAAATCACTTCGACCAGCTGTAGAGAGGTGGGTCCAGAACCTGCAGGGGGTATAAAATTACATAGTGGGCCACTTTGGGCCCTGCACTTGACTATGGTTTTTATCTTATTTTAGGCTGGAATTGCTGCTACAGATTGCAAACAAAATCCAGAATGGTGCTTTGAACTGTGAAGAAAAACTGACACTAGCTAAGAATACACTGCAGGCTGTAAGTGTCTGACTCTTTGTCTCACTTCTTACGTCACATGTTTTCCATTTCTCACCCTGTGCTCTAATGGGTGAAGTTAACATTTGAGGAATCCAGCTGCGCTCCTTGCTTACTCTTGGGATTGCAGTGGGCTCCTTGGCTCCCTCATCCTAAGTGGGTGAGAGCAATGGGGGTTCTCCCACTCTTATTCTCCCTTTCTCTCTCAGGATGCTGCTCACCTGGAATCAGGACAACCAGTACAGTGCGAATCAGATGTCATCATGTACATTCAGGAATGTGAAGGTCTTATCAGGCAGCTGCAGGTGGATCTCCAGATCCTACGTGATGAGAATTATTACCAGCTAGAAGAGCTAGCTTTTAGGTGAGGAACATGGGACTGATATAGAGGGTTTGCTTACTGCTGAGGCTTATGGCTCAAGAATCAGGTACTGAATCCTGTAACTTGGACCTTGGAAGTCAGTGTGTCAATAGGAACACTGCAGGTATTTTGGCAGGAAAATTCTTCTGGTGGAGGACAATTTCCCCTTATTGCAGCCCCTGACCACTAAGTACCTGTAGGATTTCCTAATCATCATGCCATCTTATAACACCCCACATATTTCAGACTGACCTGCAGGGGTTTGCTACCAGATAAGGTTTAGATGTCGTGGTCCAGTGTGTCATTTTATAGAGGAGGAAACCAAGACCCATACAGGGGATGAGGATCATCCAAGTCACATAGTTTTTACAGAGCCAAGACGAAGACTTAGATCTTTGCGTCCCCTAATCTATTATTTATTCTATTATACCATCTAGGACCTACAAAAATGGGTATTGGTTGGCTTCCCTCCAGTTAACACTATAATTTGATATTTGCCTCAAAGACAAGTCTGTATAATGAAGATGTTAATAACACCACTTTGCACTCATTTAACACTTGCTTTCTCAAAAACACTTTCTTGATAGGATCTCATTTTTATTTTTACCTCATTTTTGTCAAATGGATAGGGAAGATTTTATTTTAAAAAGACATTACAAACTTAAGTCTCTTCCTTCTTTTTCTTCTTCCATTTCAGGGTTATGCGTCTGCAGGATGAGCTGGTCACCTTGCGTCTGGAGTGTACAAACTTGTATCGGAAGGGCCATTTTACTTCACTTGAACTGGTTCCACCCTCTACTTTAACCACTTCTCATCTGAAGTCAGAACCCTTGACCAAGGGAACCCATTCTTCTTCTACCTCCTGGTTCCGAAAGCCTATGACTCGGGCTGAACTTGTGTCTATATCCTCCTCAGAAGATGAAGGCAATCTTCGATTTGTATACGAACTACTGTCTTGGGTAGAAGAAATGCAGGTGAGTGTGTGTTCCAAATGCTTATACAGTGCACTAAGATTTATTGGATCCAGCAGCTTATCTAAGAGGAGTCCCTCTATGCCTCTTATATAAATTCCCTTAATTATTGATATTGCCTAGGACCCAGACCCTCTTTTCCTTAAATTTTAAATGGATAGAATCAGCTCACATTCTCAAAATTCCACACTGAATAGCACAGGTTTTCCTAATTTGAAGCTCTTAGGAAATTTATTCCCTTCAGCTATTTGTGCTGTAAGTGGGAGCTTGTGGGAGAAGTTGCAGAGCCTATCCATAAATTGTGGTTATCTTTTCTGAAATTTCCTCGTTGGTGGAGAAACCTATTCTTCGCTTTTTGTGTCTGGCCTGAACTCTTACATTTAAACAAGGTTTCTTTGTTCACAATTCTAGAGGGAAATTTTTTTTAAATTAATTTTTCAATTACAGTTGACATAACAATATCATATTAGTTTCAGGTATATAACTTAATTGATTAGATATTTATATATAACTTTGGAAGTGATCACCCTGAAAAGTCTAGTAGCCATCTGATACCATACATAGTTATTATAATATTGTAAACTATATTCCCTGTGCTATACTTTACGTTCCTAGGAGGCACTATTCACATGTATTCCAGGATAATGGTTCAAGTTCAATATTCTCCTTTTTATCCTTCCAACCCTTTTGTTTGTATGAGATTCTTCCCATCTCCTGGTGATGGATTCCCTGTGTACCAATAATTAAAAACATTCAAAGACAACCTAATATTTTAAAAATTGTTGGCCAATAGTTGAGGCCATGAATGAAGCTTATTATTTTCAGATATTCTTATACCCATTCTGATTGTGAAAGGAAGAGGCTCTATAAAGGGAAATGCCTAAAATACAAAGTTTAGCATCTTCAGTCTATGGGAATACCTTTCTGGTTGGTAAATTTAGGAATGTATTCCTACAGTGCAGCAGCAGAAAGCTGCCTTTGCCTCTGTGGCTGGTGGGGTTTAGTCTCCAGCTCCTTGGGGATGATTATGGCATATTTTCCTATAAGAGGCCACGATGGAGATGGTTTAGATGTCCTTTTATCCAGTCCTCTACCCCCAACCGCCTTGTCTAAACATTGTGACAATTTTCTTTTCTGCCTTTTTAGATGTAAATTATTATATATGTATTTCTTCTTTTTCAGATGAAATTGGAACGAGCAGAGTGGGGCAATGACCTGCCTAGTGTGGAGTTGCAGCTAGAAACACAGAAGCACATCCATACCAGTGTGGAAGAGCTGGGCTCAAGTGTCAAAGAGGCCAGGTTATATGAGGTATGTGGCAGTCAGAATCCATTACAGAGGGTGGGGCAGGGACAGTATGCACAATGCAGCTGTCTCTAAGGAAAAGAATAACCGTGAGCAGCGCTTTATACAAACTCACTTTTCATATGAGGTGTCCTTCTGCTCTTTGAAATAGCCTTGTGACAAAGGTATTATTTTTATTAACTCTTTTTTTATTGTACTAGAAAGAAAAGTGACACTGAAAGCCAAGGTCCAAATTAGCAAGTAGTGGCTGCTGTTTCCAAACTCAGGCCCTCTGTTCCAAAAGTCCGTGCTTGTTCCATTTCACATCTGTCTGCAGGAGAGAGCTGGTACACAAAAATTAGTCTCTCTTCTCCCTCACTCATTCTATCTTCCCAGTTTTGTTTTAGTTTTTGTTTTTTACTTTCAATTCCCTCCTTCAAAAAAAAAGCAGTTGAGTGATTTGGAATCATCAGGCATGGGTTTTTCTTTGAAACCTCACAGAATTACTGGAAGCACAAGACAGTGAGGTCTGTCAGTTGTATTCACCCTGCTGAAATGTCCCTCACTTAGTGCTGCTCCAGGCTATAAAATCTGACCCAGAGATTTGTGGTCCAAGTTTCTGTCTTCTCTGAGTAAGAAATCCTATGTGCAGACATAATATTTATGTAATTGAAACCATGCCATAAATATAATTTACTTATTCTTTCTCTAATGTATTTTTATTTCATTCCTTTCTTATCAGGGGAAAATGTCCCAAAATTTTCAAACTAGTTATGTTGAAACTCTTGGAAAGCTCGAGACACAGTATTGTAAATTGAAGGTAAGTTTTGACTAACTCTCCTGTGTTCTGTGGAGAATCTGGTTCCCTCCAAACAACTCTTTTTCCTAATTCATAAAGCTCTTAGTTTTGAATTTCTGTTTATTAGATTATATTATTTATGATGCAGTTGTTCATATGTATTATAATATTTTTCTTAATAGATCAGAACCAGTGCCCCAGAAAGTTTTAAGTAGGGCCTATCCAAGCTATCATGCTTTACCAAAGCACTCGCTGTATTTGCTTTGAGGCACCAAAACTAAAAATTTGAGGTTGATAGGTTGGGCATTTCTCTTCTGTATGTGTTCTTCATTCCTGTCATTCAAGATTGCACAGAATAAGACAAGCCCAGGATCATTCTTTATCCAGGGGGTCCCACAAAGGCCTGGTAAGTTCCAACTTTTAGCTAATATTGGCAAGGGCTCTGGGAGTCCTGTACCAAACTTACACTAAATTTAAGTCAGTGGAGGAGCACCCAGAGATTAAAAAGCAAGACAAAATTTATTTCCTGAGTTGTTCTTTGCTTTGGTGTAAAACATACTATCTTCTGTAGATGAAAGTCTGGTGGTTTAACCTTGTAGTCCTTGCTTTGTCTAGGAAACTTCTAGCTTCCGGATGAGGCACCTTCAGAGCCTACACAAATTTGTTTCCAGAGCTACAACTGAATTGATTTGGTTGAATGAGAAGGAGGAGGAGGAACTAGCATATGACTGGAGTGACAACAATCCCAATATTTCAGCCAAGAAAAATTACTTCTCTGTGAGTCTAGCACAACATGCCTGTCATGTTTATGTAATAGCAGCAGAAGGAGACAGAGGGTCTAGTCTGCTGAGAAATTGGGTTTCGGGATTTGCATTCTGCTAAATAGAAATAGAGACCCTGCTTACTGTGTCCATGCATGGGAAGTGTATATGGAAAGAGGGAAATCAAGCCCTAGCATGAATTTATTTAGAATGCATTTAGAAAGGCAGTATCTTAAGTTGATAGAGCAGCAAGCAGACTGCAGGATGAGTCATTTCAGAAGCAATATAACTTTGTGGTGAAGATTATGGGCTTCAGAGTGAATTAGACCAAACTTAACTTTTTATTCCTTTACTTACTGGCTCTGTGACCTTGGGAAGTCATTTAATCTCTCTGAACCTCTGTAAAATGGGATAACAATACCACTTAACAGGGTTGTGTAAAATATTCAGTAAGATTTAATAATAATATTAGCATTGTTTAACTGAGGTATACTCTTGGCTTCTCAGAAATGCCAAATTCTCTAATTCATTTAATAATCTTTTGGTCTCAATCTCTTCTTTTGTAATATGGGAAGGAAAATTCAGCATTGGACTAGGGGATGGTGCTTTGTATTCCTTTTTAGTGAAAGATGTAGACAAGTAAGGAGGGATGTTTTTGCTACTTTTAGTATTTCTACATCTCAGGATTTCTAAACATTTTGTACATCCTGTGAAAATAGGAAACTTTTTTACTAACGCTTACTTTAGATACTTTAATTACATTATTTTAGAGTATTTTTTAAAATATAAGCTTTTCCTGAATAGAGAATGGTATAAGATTCTTCTTCAATAAGATTCAATAAGAATGGTATAAGTAGCCCTGTCTGGTGTGGCTCAGTGAAGTGAGTACCAGCTTGCAAACCAAAGGGTCGCCGGTTCAGTTCCCAGTCTGGGCACATGCCTGGGTTGTGGCCCAGGTCCCCAGTAGGTGGCGTGTGAGAGGCAACCACACATTGATGCTTCTCTCCCTCTCTTTCTCCCTCCCTTCCCTTCTGTCTGAAAATAAATAAATAAAACCCTTAAAAAAAATCCTTCTGAAGTAAATAAGAAAGAATAGATATGCTAATACAATAAACAGTCTGTATAAGAATGGAAATTAGTCTATGAAAGAGACGTAAAGAAGGTGCTTGAAAAGCATTGAAGAGGAGAGGTCAAATCTGATAGTAAGGCTCAGTACTCAGCCTCCCAAAAGAGCTGCCATCTAAAGTGGGTTCTGTAATGTTAGTAAACTTACTGAGTTTAGAGAGAGAAAGGAAGGGGAAGAGGAATAGAGAGAAATATCGATATGAGAGAGAAACATCAATTGGTTTCCTGTCATATGCACAACCGTGGATTGAACCCACAACCAAGGTACAGCCCTGACTGGGAATTGAACCTGCAGCCTTTTGCTCTATGGCATGACATTCCAACTATCTGAGCCACCCAGCCAGAGCTGTAACATTAACAGACTTTAGAGCCAGAGGAGGGCACTACAGGCTAAGGAAATAGTCTTAGGAAATCTAGCCAGTCAGTAAGGTAGATCCACTGGTGTGTCAGGTACTGTGTTTAGGTGGGTGCTAGCATGAACAAGCCACTCTAGCCAAGTTATTTCCTTTTTCTGCTTCCAATGCTCATTCTGTGTTCCCACTCACTCAGGTCTGGCTTGGGTTCCATATTCTTTGTGAATCATTCACCAGAAATTCCAGCATTTTTGCTCTTCTCTAAAAGCCTTTGGCGTATACTGTTCATACATATCATTTTGGCTCTAACCCAGTGCTGTAGGCTTTTTAAAAGTAGGGCAGAGAACAGAGTCTTTCTTTATTGCTACACTTCCCTTAATAGCACTTATAGCATAAAATTGAATTCAATTTTCAGGAGTTGACAATGGAACTGGAGGAAAAACAGGATGTGTTTCGGTCTCTACAAGATACAGCCGAGCTGCTATCACTTGAGAACCACCCAGCCAAGCAGACTGTGGAGGTAAGTGACTTGAGAATGTGTGAGGGCCAAGTGCGCAGAGGTGATTGTTATAAAATTACTCAGATCAGAGGCTTCATTCTGCCAAAAGACCTAGAGGAGGTGTCAGGGATCATTTGTGTTGGGTTTTCTCCTTTTTCATCCCAGCCCCCAAGAGACTGAAAATTATTTGATGTTCTAAGGAGAAAACTACAAGAAACAAAAAGAGAGACTGATCCCTAACTTTATGGGGAAAATGACTTGGGCCATATTTTTTCAAATAACTATTCAGACAGATCCTGTCTCTTGTTGATGTGCTGACTTTGCCCAGAGAAGAGGGGTATTGGAGGAATCCAGGAGGAGTTTATTTATGCCTGGGTTTTCCTGGCCAAATCATTTAGTTGGCACCTGAGTGTAGAAGGGTCCTTTGCTGTGTAACCCCTTCTAACAAAACCACATTGGATGAAAGACAAGCCTCTTGCTTTTGGGAAGTGTTGAGCAGCTGCCAGTCAAGTATCTCCATGTATCTTCTGTAGTCCTCTCCATCATTAGCAGTTGTACTTGGAAGAAAGCATTGCACATGTATATTGGGTCTATTAATCTCATGCCCTTCTCTCTGTGCTTGGATGTTGCAGGCTTACAATGCCGCTGTCCAGTCCCAGTTGCAGTGGATGAAGCAGCTGTGCTTGTGTGTTGAGCAGCATATAAAAGAGAATACTGCTTACTTTCAGGTATGCAGGCTTTGTGTTTTTCCATGTACATGTCTATGTGTGTGTGCGTCAGAGGATGAGAAGAGTATTTGTTTTCATTCTGGCAAGGGATTTTGTGTGTGCATGCATGTGTGCATGCATATACATGGGAAAGGTGAGGTTAAATACTCATCTATGTTAGTTAGTTTCTATTGTAAAAACCACCACCCTAAAATTTAGTTACTTAAAACAACAATCATTTAGTTAGCTCTTGCTTATGTGGGTTGACAGTTTGGGCTGTGCTCAGCTGAGTGGCCTTTCTCATTTTGCCTGGCTTAATCATGGCTGCAGCCAGCTGGCAAGCAGGCTGGGGGCTGGATGATGCATGTCTAACGTTGTCGGGGGTGATGAGGTGCAAGTCTGTATACAAGCCTCTAGCATCAAATAGGCTCTCCTTGGCTTCTTCAGAGTGCCTGTCTTCCCTGAGCAGCAAGAGAGAGTAAGCCCCAAGGCGCAAGCACCTGTTTCTGCTGTCACATTTATTAACAGACCAGTGGCCAGGGGAAGTCACATGGCCATGCCCAGCTTCAAGGGGAGGAGAAATACACTCCAGCTCTTGATGGGAAGACCTATAAAATATCAGGACCATTTTTTCCCTACAATCTATCACAGCATGAAGAATTTAGTACTTGTTTTCAAATGAGGGTGGGTGGAGGAAATAAACTATTATCTGTTTGGTTTTTCTGTAAATTAAGTAATCTTCCTGATCATTTTATAATTGTATCAATGAATTAAAGCACTTGATAACTCAGCACCTGGGCTTTTATGAAATCTACCTCACAATCAAGTGCTGTCACAAGCCAGAAGTCAAGAGGAATGAGCAGTGATTTCTGAGGACATGAAGCAGACTGACTTTTCCATACGGTTCAGTAGGCCTTGTGCAAGTCATCACTAATATTTCCTGGCCATGGCATTATAAAACTTCCAGTTTATAGTTTCGTGGTCTTTGTAAAGAACTATCACTAACTCGGGAAAGTAAAATCAGCTTTCCTCAGCTGTGCACAGGAGGATTGTCCTTTCTCAGTTAAGGTCTTGGTGTTCCAACGTAGTGAGTGCAAAGAACCCCTCTCTTCTATCCCCACAGTTCTTCAGTGATGCACGAGACCTGGAGTCATTCTTGAGGAACCTCCAAGACTCCATCAAACGGAAATACTCCTGTGACCACAACACCAGCTTATCCCGCCTTGAAGACCTGCTCCAGGACTCCATGGTGGGTATTGTATCAGTGGGATGATTACAGAAACATTCTCTGAGAAATAGAGTAAACCCTGTCAGCTGTGGCTGTTTATATCCTTGAAAGCTCCAGGGCAGTAGGTCGTTACAATCTTTGGCTCACATTTAAATAGAGTTTAATCAATTGTCCTTTTTCCTTTTTTCCTTTCTTTCCCTAAAGAAGTTACTAATAAGATTCCTTTGAGTATGTTATTGACGTAAAGGCGTAGTCATCTCCCTGAGCCATGTAGTACTGCTCATCATACTTTCTTTGCATTGTTTCTATCTATTTCAATTCAGTAGTTGGAGCCAAAGATGAAGTATAGAGCATGAAAAATAAGGTTGAAGGGGATTACCTGACATCAACTTCTTTTTCACTCTCCCATGCGAAAAGAGTTTTTAAAACAAAATAAAACAAAACCCGAGTGAACTAGACCTGAGCCAAATTTTTCCTCCGTGGCATTTTTCTTTTGGTAATGATGAGGTATTAGAAAATTGAATTTAATTAAGGACATTAAAATCTTATTTAGATGTAATGCAGTATTATCCAGTTTATGTAGCAGCATTTAATTTTTAAATAGTATTGCGTCCAGTATTTAATTCAAATCAAGTTTACATTTATTTCCTCCAATGAACTATTCCTTCAGGAGCGCTGGTAATAAAATCAGCAGCAGGACTATTTACATTTATTGAATGTATATTACACAGAATTGGCAAGACAAGACTCAAGGTACACCTCACAGTAAGATATGTACTATATATGATAGAGAAATTACTTTTTCTATATGAGAAGCCAGGGGATTCTCACATTTCAACAGAAAATTGTGACTAGGAGAACCAGAATAACCCAAAACAGTGTCATTTTTTTGAGGGTGACACTTGGGCATTTGTGAATGTTAGTTGATTTTTTTGTATACTTGCAGGTATTATAAATTTAAGAATGGTTTTACATTCAGTGTTTTACCTGGGCAAATAATCTGTTAGTTTAATTAATTTGGAATGAAGGGTAAAAAATTTGACTTTTCAGATGTTGTCTCTAGAAGGTCTCTCTTGGATGTACTTCAAGTATGAAGGAGGAATATAATAATCCTTGGCTATTATCTCCTCCCTCCCACAGACTACCTTCCTGTTGTAGGGTAACTTCTCTGCAATTGTTGTCCTATCTTCTCTTCTCGAGGGTTGCTGCTTTGTTCCCTCCTCTCCAGGTCAGGGGCATCGGGTTGGCGGCATCATCGGGGCATGGAGTCAACTGGGTCTGCTCCTCAACTTGTCCTCAGCTTTCCGTCAGGTTCGGGAGCATCTGTCCTGGCTTCTGGTTCTTTTCAGAACTTTTACCACGCTGAGCACTTGGTTTCTGGAGTTTGAGATGTTTGGCTTGGGTTAGACAGAACTTTGACATCTTTATTGCAAGGAAAATGAAAGTGGCATCCTTATTGAAAGGAAAATGACATGGGTAGACCAGCTCTCAAGTATGGAACAGTGTGGCTGTCACCCTGATATGTTCCATTCCTCTTTCTTAACTAATAAGTTAAAGTTGTATTTCTTCCAATCATGCTCCCCGGGACAGGCACAGGTAGTTTATTTAAGCATTTCTTCTTCTTTTTTTTTTTTTTTTTACTTGCATATTCTTAATTCTTTAATGGCATTTCTTAACATTATTAACTCTTTGCTCTCATTACATCTACTTCCATCCTAAGAAAGCCCTCTTCTGGGTAGTTTTTATACCTCAAAACGGGCTTGAAACATCCTGGTTAATCTTTTACTTTAATGGAATTAGCAGTAGATTGCTACCAATTTTGTTGACAAGAGGTTCATTAGTTTTTAAGATAATTGGGTTTTCAGAGACTTGAGAGTTTTAATTTTGCATGGTACTGCTTTCAACCCAATCAAATTTACATGACTTTCACACAGCAAGACACTAAAAGGTAAACCCTTTGTCATAATGCCTTCACCAACGGTATTGATTGTAGATTGTTGGTTGAAGAGCTAAGATCTTTCTGGAGAAAGTTTGACTCAATTTAAGAAAGTGTAACATTTGTGTTAGATATAATTATTTGAAAAAATTTTAAAGAGCTTAACTCTAGCTTCTTCTAAGCAGGAGGCAAGAACTGGCTTCTACCAGTAAGAAATTGAATAATAACAACAATAACAACATAGTTGTTATTGTTTTTAAATGCCATGTTCTCCGAACCTTATTTGGGGAAGTGCTTTGCTAGCTTTATAGCTAGCTGTATTTGGCAGCTAGAAGTTCTTTTTTGTTTTATGGGTGTTTTGTTTTTGCATGCGGCTTTATGGTTCATTGAAAGGGCACAGGGAAAGAGCTGCAGAATTTGAATACAAAAACACTTGGTAGAAGACAAAAACAGTCTCTCCTTTTATCTTTTTATCTTTGTGTTTCTAAAATGGCTCCACCAAGGATTATTTAACTGAGAAATGACATTCTCTTAGAGAGTGGAGCACTCAATTTTCTGTTAGTCACCCTAAGTAGCAACATTAGTATCTTTTTTAATTTCTTCTCATTTTGTAGGATGAAAAGGAGCAGCTTATACAGTCCAAAAGTTCTGTTGCCAGTCTTGTTGGGAGATCAAAAACAATTGTTCAGCTAAAGCCACGCAGTCCTGACCATGTGCTAAAGAGCACCATTTCTGTGAAGGCCATCTGTGACTATCGGCAGATCGAGGTAAGGAGGCGAAAGGATACTTCTAGCCACAAGAGGAAAGGAAGGGGATGAGACGCCTTCAGTTAGGGTTATGATTATGAGAAAAGATCAAATGATATGCTCAAATCCCTTCTATCATTTAAAAATAAAAGTAAAAAAAGCTTCACCCTGGCCAGGTGGCTCAGTTGATTGGAGTGTTGACCCCTGCACCAGGAGTTTATAGGTTCAATTCCTGGTCAGGGCGCATACCTAGGTTGCAGGTGTGATCCCTGGTCAGGGCTCCTACAGGAGGCAACCAATCAATGTTTCTCTCTTACATTGTTGTTTCCCTCTCCCTCTCCCCACACCCTTCTCCTCCTTCCTCTCTCTAAAAATCAGTGAAAAATATCCTTGGATAAGAATTTAAGCGGGGGAGGGGGGGGGCGCGGCGGGGAGCTTCAGCTCTACAATAATAAAATAATAATCTGATCCCTGCCTTCGTGGTGGGCTTCATCATCTATCCAGTTGCCTAAGTGGTGGCCAAAACGGTACTTTGTAGCAGATGGGAGATATCCTTGACTCCTCCCTTCTCATCCATCTCCCACAGCTAGTAGGACTACCAAGTCAAAACTAACTTCTAAATAAAATCCCTTAGATGTACTTCATTCTGTCCCTGCTGCAAGTACCCTAAGTTAGATCATAAGTTTCTTTCACTTCAATTGTTGCATCAACCTCCTTGATGCATTTTTTAAGAGGTGGTGGGAGGGAGAAAGAGAAGGAGAAAAACATCAATGTGTGAGAGAAACAGTGATTGGCAGCCTCTCGCATGGCCTGGCTCACAACCCAGGCAGGAACCAATGCCTTCTTTAGCCACCAGCATGATCATTTACAAAAAAGTGTCACTTCCCTGCTTAAGTCCTTCAGCAATCCCTTTTTCTATTTAGAAAGTGTAAATTCCTTACTGTGGCTTCAGTCCTGAATAATTTTTCTTTACCTCTCTAGCCAAGACTGGGTCATGCCTCTTCCATGCATTCCTGGTAAATTGCATTTGTCACACAGTAGTGTAACTATATATATACCCCACCAGAATATATGGAATATATTAATAGACCATGTTCATCAGCTTACCATTTTACCATTTCTATCTCTAATGGATTAGCACACTGCCAGGTACACAGTAGGCTAAATAAATATTTGTTACACAAAAGAATGAATTAACTTTTTCTGCACCTTTCTGTCTCAGTATTTCTGTCTACTCAAGGTAGAACCACCACCCCCCCACCCCCGCCAACCCCAGAAGTTATTTATAAAAAATTTTGTATTCTTATATGTTTAAGTTTCAGTCGCCTTCAAAGTACTCTCCATTTGATGCAGTGCATCTATGGAGGTGTTTTTCCCAGTACTTAGAACAATTTTCAAGGTGATCAATTCTGTTGCCTTTTAATACTTCCGCTGTTTTTTGTTTCACCTCTTTCACATCAGCAAAATATTTCCCTTTGAGGAATTTTTTCAACAAGGGAAACAAAAAAAAGTTGCTCCAGGTGAGATCAAGTGAATAAGGAGGGTAGAGTACAGTGGTCAAGCTGTTTTTGATCAAAGACTACTGAACTCTCAGCATGGTGTGGAGAGGAGTGCTTGTAAATCACCCATCATGAAATGGGCAAATGTGTTGAAAGAGTCTTAAAAAAAATTCACTGAAGCAAGATGCAGCCCCTCACAACAACACCAGGTGGTACACTGATAAAGATGGGTTCCTAGAACACTCAACTAGAGGGGAAAGCCCGTACTACAAGGGGCCTGCCCTCCAAAAGATAGTTCCGGGTTTTTTTGGGTCTCCCCCTCATAAAATAGGGATGATATTGGTTGCCTGTCTCCCAAGAGAAGGAACTGATGATTCCAAATCCTTAAGCATTTTCAGGGCTTTGGGTGGGATGACAGGAAGGAAGGAAGGAAGGAAGGAAGGAAGGAAGGAGGAGGCACTATCCCAAAAGCAAAGTTGTGAGTATTTATGTCTCTTTAATTTTTACTCTAATGGCTGTATATGTGAGAGATTGCTCTTAGAGGTCTTACAGTCTCCTTCTGCCCTTCATTTATTGAGTTATTTGACATGTAACAGACATTTCAGAAACACTTGCTTCCTGGATTTATTTGATGTCCGCAACTTTTTCTGTGTTGTGTATTTTTACACATCTTTTTGGTCTGAATCAGGAACTTTAAGTGATGGTAGATCTGCAAAATGATTTTTTTCTTGAGGATTTCATAGCCTTGGGATCAGGCATCAGGTAAAATGAGTTGCTGATTTATCCATTAGTAATGACTTTTAAATTATCTCTTCAGATCACTATTTGCAAGAATGAGGAATGTGTGTTAGAAGATAATTCACAAAGGACCAAGTGGAAAGTGATCAGCCCCACAGGGAATGAGGCAATGGTGCCATCTGTCTGCTTCCTCATCCCTCCACCCAACAAGGATGCCATTGAGATGGCCAGCAGGTACCTTTGCTCAACCGCCACTCTGCTTGGCCTAGGAGAACTGATGGAGGGAGGAATTTGCATTTATGATCTCCTTGAACAGAGCAACCAAATTTTAAAGTTTCTTTTGGGAAAGGTTCTCTGTTAGGATATAAAGTCTTACACTGCCAGCCACATAGTAGATTTTGAGTAAATGTTTATGTTCAATTAAGATACAGTTAATGATGATTCTTTTTTAAAAGAATTCTTGGATATGAACAGTTTGTTCTCAGATTTATTTTTGTAGTGACAGCTAATTTTCTTTTTTAATATATATTTTATTAATGTGTACCTATTTTTAAAAGTTAAATTATACCAAAAATCTTACAATAAAAATTACCAACCACTGTCCCCACTCCAGAGTTCTGCTTCCTGGAGTTAACTATTTTCAACTCTCTGAGAAGACTTTTTGGATTTAATTCCAAATTTCTAAATAATGTGATTTTTTCCTGCTATTATCTGATTTTTTTCAACTTTAGAAATTATTTATTGACTTCCTACTCTAAAAAGCTAACATTTACCTTGCTACACATACACCTGCATACACTTCTTTCCCCACCTTCCAAATGTAGTTTTGTCACAGTTTTGTTTAAATTGATATTTTTGTGTTATTAATGGGTTGGCCAGAAAGTCTGTTTAGTTTTTTCTGTAAAATAAAGGACTCATTTTTCATTTTCACCAATAACTATTGACTTGGATGTTTTGAGTATGTCGGCTCTCTCCTGCTATGGGCATCCAGTGGGCAGAGGCCAGGGGTGCTGCTCAACATCTTCCAATGCATAAGACCAGCCCCACAGCAAAGAATTATTTGGCCAAAATGTCAATAGTACTAAGAAAGTTCACAAACCACTTTTGACACGTTCGATCAGTCATGGTACCTTCTCCATGTACTGCACAAACCTTTTTTTGTATTTCAGTTGTTTTTACCTTTCTTGAAATAAGAGAGCACAATATGCTGAAAGTGTTGCTTATTTTCTTCCATCTTCAATATTAAAATGGCTGCATAAAAATTCACCAATTTTGATTTTTTAAAAAATGCCTGCTGATATGATAGCTGTCAACAATACAGTCTAACAGAATTGTTTCAAATGAAGCTAAAGATAACTAAACACTACTTGAGCCATCGCATGAAAAAAACATAACAGACTTTTTAGCCAACCCAGTCCATGAAATGGTTTATAGCTGAGCCACGCAGTACTGTAGGGGATTATTGTGAGACTTACCCCATTGTGTCTTTCCTCTCTAAACTCACCCTCTGTCACGCTCCTTGCTTATGCTTAGCTCCAGTCACTCTCATCTGTTTCCTGTTTCTCAAACACCACAAGCACATTTTGCCTCAGGCCTTTCATTTCCTCTGCTTGCTTCAAATATTTATGTGATTCACTCCCTCACTTCATTCAGCTTATCTTACCGTCCCATGTACCTCCACCCCCATTCACTGCCTATCACTTTCTGTCTCCTTCACTCATCTTTATTTTTCTTCATAACACTTAATATAGCCTAACAGATTGTGTATTTGTTTATTGCCTCTCCTCGCCTATTAGAAGTTTCAAAAGAACAGAGGGATTTTTCTTCTTTTGTTTACTTCTGTACCCTCAGTACTAGGGTCATTGCTGGCACATAGAAAATGCTTGGCAGATGGTTGTTGAAGGAAAGAATGAATGAGTAGGTGATTGAATGTGTGTTTGAGTAAATTATTTCATTTACTTTCTTGTGTAACTTTTTGTTTCCTTAGAATTCATCTTTGTTTTTTTTTTTTGTTTTTTGAATTTGCTTAGTTGTCTATTAGTGTATTATGAATTTATCTCCAAACTCTTCTATGTTACTGTTAAAAGGTTTCTTAGTATGGCCAAACACTGTAGGTAATTTTCATTTTGATTTATTTTTATTTCTCTTGGAAACATCTCTTCTAGGTCATTCTGTCTTCCTTTTCCAGTCTGAACCTGCTGTGCAGGCCTGCTTCAGTACTGCCTCCCTGGCATTTCACTTTGTCTTCATCCTGAAGGTCTCTTCATCTCTCTTCTGTGCTGGACCCTCTGATTCTTAGAAAACAAGTCTTATTTGTTGGTTTATTCCCTGGTTTGGGAGCGTATACCCTGTAGGAGCCTACTGAGAAAAAAGTCCAAGAGAAGTAAACTTTTTGAGACCTCTCATATCTGAAAATGTCTGTCTTCTCCCTTCATAATGAATTAGTTATGAATTTCCATAACAAAATTCTTTGCAAAATTATTTTCACTCTGAAACTTGAAGGCACTGTTCCACTATTTTTCTGGCTTCCAGCATTTGCTATTGAAATATACAGTACCATTGTCCTTCTTTATTTTTTTTTAAGTTTACACAACTGTCAAATTTTCCCTTTGTAGTGAGCAGTACTATGGTTTTGACAAATGCATAGGATTGAGTGTCCTCTACTATAGTTATGGAAAGAAATCAGTCTGATACTTTAATCTTTTGAATGAAATCTTTATCTCTGAAGTTTTTGAAATCCTTCTGTTTGTCTTTAATCTTTGGAGGGGATGCTCTGTCTTCAGGTGAGTCTCTATGCTAACCCTGAACACAAACTGGAAACTCATATCTTTGAGAACTGGCAAAATATTTTTGGGATTATTTCTTTAATTACATCCTTCTCTATGTTCTGTTCATGCTTTTAAGACCTCTCATTTGTCAGATGTTGGATCTCCTGAACTGATTTTCTCATTTTCTTCTGTTTTATGTTTCTTTGTGTTTTTGCTTTTCTTTGCAATTTCCTGAACTTTTTTAGTGGAATTTTTTTTAAAGGAAGATAAACTAATGAGTTTAATGTCTTTTCTTTAACTTACAATTATGGCTTCTAGTTCTTCATTCTATTTTAATATCTCACATTTCTCAACTTGAAAAAATTCAAGGTAATTTGTTATTTATTGCATGTGTCTGTGTATCTGTAAGTTTAAGTCTTCCCAGAAGTTAAGGTTGCATTAGGCATGGGATGCTAAAGGAAAAATCTTCTCAAGCAATTTCCTTCCATATGCCAGATGAACTTCTTAAATTGCTATTAACTCTTACATTTTAGCAGTTTTGTAAATATATACAGAACGTAGCAAACCACTTTTTAAGTGGTGATAATGCCATTTTTCAACAATCCCAGATGAGGTTATTTTATCTCTAAATTTCTCTGTCATTGTTTTCCCTGGGTAGTTCCTCTGTCTAACTTCTTGTAAGTAGTTACACTCAGGTAACATTTATAAGATTGCTAAAGGTATGCTGAAATATATATACATAATAGTGTAGCAAATCTAAATTGTTTGAGGGTAGCAGTTGATTTCATTTTAAAGATTCCTATGTTTTTAGTATTTGACTTGTTGACTTTCTCTGCTCAGCATATAAACTCAGTTCTGCTAAAGAATCATACTTTTTCCTTAGAGCATCTCTAATGTGAGGCTCAAGTCTTATAAAAGCTATAACCAGGTTCTGTGTTGTTCCTAGAGTGGAGCAGTCTTATCAGAAGGTGATGGCCCTTTGGCATCAACTACATGTTAACACCAAAAGCCTTATCTCCTGGAACTATCTGAGGAAGGATCTTGACCTTATAAAGACCTGGAACCTGGAAAAGGTAATTGTGAAAGTATTACCCCAGGCACACATACTACTAGCAAGCTTTTTTTCCAAAGGAACTTTTTTTCTTTACTGTGAGACTCCTACCCACCCAATCAGAATAAAATGGTATCAGGGAAACTGGTTTAAATTTAAGTACCTTAGGCTCTTAGGAAATAGAAACAGCAGCCCAAAAGGTTAAGGAAATTCCTGATGAAAATAAGTAACATATTTGGTTGTCTTGGCAAAGGGAGAAGGTTGCAGGCTGCTTCTCATTGCAGGATAACTGTCTCTTTTGCATAAGTGTATGTAGTAGGGGAATGTGGTAAATTAATTATTATTAAAAGTTATGTCTAAGGGGGCACAAGGGTACTTCTGGGGTGCTAGTGATACCCTGTTTCTTAGTCTAAATGCTGATTACATAGACAGGTTCAATTTGTGAAAAATCAGCGTGTATGCAATTACAGTTTATATATTATTTCATGTCTATGTTAAATGTCAATAAAAAGGAGAAAGTATTATGTTCACATTCCATTGAAGTTTTCTGGCTTTTCCTGTGTAGCTTCGGTCATCAACACCAGGAGAGTGCCACCAAGTTATGAAGACCCTCCAGGCCCACTATGATGACTTTCTGCAGGATAGCCGTGACTCAGTGCTCTTCTCAGTGGCGGATCATCTGCGTTTGGAAGAGGAAGTGGAGGCTTGTAAAACCCACTTCCAGCACCTGATAAAATCCATGGAGAATGGTATGTGCCTTGGGAAGAGCAGGGTACTGGTAGAATGAGAACCCTGAAGGGTGCTGCAAGACCCTTCCTATAAACTAGAGAGCACTGTCACCACTAAAATGAGAACCCTGAGAGAGAATTGGTTTCTGAGGTGAATTCAGGTCATGGAAGAAGAGGCCGTATTTTAGTCTTTATTGCTAATCAACCTATCACATATTCTTGTGGAAATAGCATGTTTGCGTCCTAAAGATTATTATATCATGCAGGGAAGTTAGGATCAGGCTTAAGGTTTCCTACATAAGGCCTTGCTTTCATTGGTGGAACAAAAATCAGATCTGCTGGAACCACTGGTTCCCTCTACCTGAGGGTAAATCTGTTGTTCCCAGGTTTGCTAATCTCTGGTATGGTGCTTAATGGTCTTCTGTGTTTGTACATTCATAGAAGACAAAGAAGAAACTGTGGCCAAGATGTACATTTCAGAGCTGAAGAATATCCAGCTACGCCTGGAGGAGTGTGAACAGAGGCTAGTCAAACGAATTCAGACTCCGCCCAGCTCTAGAAGTGACAAAGATGCCCGGCAGGAGAGTGCATTAAGGATTGCAGAGCAAGAGGTAAGCCCTAAGAGCAAGATCAGTGTTGGTTACAGAGTAAACTCTTTCAGAATGAATTGGGTGGCAAGAGAGTATGGATCCTAAGAAATAAGGAAATAGACTTATGGCAATCTTACTTGTCTACGGCCTGAAAGTGCCTTTTACCTGTGGAGCAGGTTAACTTCAGCTTTCAGTGTATTGTTGAATGTTGGTTAGTCTACACTGTTGGGAAGAGAAACAGACTGGTAAATTGCTCTAAGGGCCGCATTTAGGCTATATATTTGAAGACTGTTTAGTAGAGATCCCACTGTCTGCCTTATCCATTATAAGTGTTACTATTACATGATTACTGTCAGTTATGTGACTAAAAAATATTAAGGAAAGAATCAGATTAGAGGCTCTTGCCTCTAATGTATTTTCTCTGTAACTGAGCAAATTAACTTTCATCTTTAGTTTCCTTTCTTATAAGATGTAGTATGAGAGTCACAGAGCTGTTTTGAAAATTAAGTGATATAGTACATATAATGAGCTTTCTGGAAAAATAAAATGTTATAAAAATGTAGGGTAGTATTCTTGAATTAAAAGCAGCAAGTACTAGTTGCTTTATTTAGTAGAACATTTCTACTTGGGATGTTATGAGAAAGCTCTGTGAAGAATATTAGAATTGGTGCTCACTTTAGCACAAACCCTCTGCAAGGATGACGCGCAAATTTGTGAAGCATTCCATGTTTTTATTGGCCTGTTTGCTCCAGGATCCTACTGTCACAGAATGTTTACCATGTAATAAAAATCTACCATCAAAAAGGAATAATAGATTTGATCTAGGAGCTTAAAGGGAATGGAAAGGAATGGCTAATGAGAAGTGTTTTTTTCTTCTTACCTTTCTTAATTATTCCTAAGCTTGAGGAGGAGGTTGAGAGGGCAGTTTAATTCTCATTGGCCAAGAGGGATCTAATAAGTCTGTATGAATCATATTGTATTAACCTGTAATTCTCATGTTGAAACATTTTTCTGTAGTCATCAAAAAGGTTAATATTCAGCTCTTCTAAAAGACCTCCTTTTTGTTTTTACTTTTTGTTTTGAAATAGTTTCACATATACACAGTTTTTATTCTTTGCTTAGATTTATCTTTCATCTAGATTCCCCAGGTGATAACTCTTTTTTACATTTACTTTATCACTTTCTTCTACATATATGTAGACATAGTATAGTCTTTTTTTTTTCTTCAGCATAACTTCCAGAAATGATGTTCCTTTACCCCTAAATATTTCAGTGTGCATTTCCAAAAATAAGGATAGTCTCTTACATCACCACAGGACAATAATTAAAATTAGGAAATGAATGTTGATAAGACCTTATTAAAGTTTTATCAGTTGACCATACCTAATTATTTTTGGCGTAGCACCCCAACCCCCAACCTACCCTCTCCCCCTTGCAAAAAAAAAAAATAAAGTAATTTTGGTATAGGATTCAATCCAGTATTATACACTGCATTTAGGTGCTGTATGTCTTTAGATTTCTTCAACCTGAAACAGTTCTTTGATTTTTCATCATCTCTTATGAGCTTAACATTATTGAAGAGTGCAGGACACTTATTTTGTAGAATGGCCCTTTCTTTATATTTATCTGAGGCTTCCTCATGATTAGAAATAGCTAACACATTTTGGGCGGGTATACCGTAGAGGTGATATTGTTTCCTTGGTGAATAATATCAGGAGGCATGTGATGTTGATTTGTCCCATTACTGATGATAATTTTTATCACTTGTTGCTATTTTCCTCTTTGTAATTACTAATTACTTTGTGGAGAGATACTTTAAGACTATGTGAATATCTTGTTTTACCAACTAGTTTTTGCATCTGTTGTTGACCCTTGACTGAATAGTTATTAGTATGACTGTTGCCAAAAGGAGATTTTCTAAGTCTGTTTTTTACATTTTTTTAACTTCTGTTTTTATCAGATGGAAAGAGCTTGCTTGCCTCCCTCCCTCTCTCCTTCCTTCTTTATGTCACTATAAACTGATGAATTCTTATATTAATCAATGGTTTGTAATTTGCTACTCCCTTTATTTTTGATATTCAAAATTTTCCAGATTTACCCATTGGGAGCCCCTTCAAGCTGGCTTCTTTGTCATTTTAATATGTCATCATTATTCTTTGAGTGCTTTATTATTTCTCAACAAAATAAATATTCCAGGTTCATCTTGCCCTAGCCAGCCTCAGCCCTGGAATTGGTCATTTTCTCCAAGGAACCCTACTTCCTTTAGGTGGAGATTGTTATTTAGAAACCATGAAAGATCTGGGTGCTGAGTGTGTTCATTGTCTAGGACTGCTCAGCAAATAGATCTAGAAAAACACATACTTACAAACACATATGCATACACACTTCTATGTTATACACACCTATTTATATACATGTATATATGTACATATGTATAACTATAGTATGCATATACAAATATATCACAAAGGTAGATCAATGCATCAGAAAGACACACACACACACACACACACACACTATGAATTCATATGTATCTTATCACTATCTGGTTCCAAACCAATACCACAGGGCTATTCTAACCTTTCCTCCTTTCTTTCCCCAAGACTGAAAAACCTACTTATGTTATCCACAAGTTTACTTATTGCTCACTTCTTACATGTACAGAGAGTACTTGCAGAATTGCTAACTCACTACTGCTACTGTTACAAAAAAAACCAAACTTGTTAACTGAAATTCAACATTTATTTATAGATATTTTTGTTGTTAGTCTGAAGGTATGTCAATAGTCCAGATACTTTGTTCAGAAATTACTTGTGTGTATTCTTCCCCCTTCACCCCCTTCAGTGCTATTTCAGAGTTTATTCAACTACTCTTTTATAGATGGCTTTAGGTTGCTTCCAATATTTTGCTATTACAAAGACTTTTTTCCAACTTCTTTGTTTAATTCTACCTCCATCTTCATTATATGTCTTGTTCCTGACAGCGTACCCAGGATGATTTACGGCAACTGAGGTCAGACTTGGAAGCTGTTTCAATGAAATGCAAGAACTTTCTCCATCAGTCCCCATCTGGTTCAAGTGTTTCAACTCTGCACTCAGAGCTCAATCTGCTGGTGGAGAAAATGGACCATGTATATGGTCTCTCCACTGTCTATCTGAATAAGTGAGTGAGCTGAGAACTTGGGTCCAAATGGGAGTATTTTCCATTGGGATGAGGAGGAGAAGTGCCTGGAGTATTTCATGAACAGTCCAGAGAGAATGCAGATCTTGAGGAGCCTGTATCCATGACAAGAGACCATGGCTTTAGTTCCAAATATAAAGTGGGTTCATTTGGGCTCCACTGAACAAATGCCAATCAGGGAGTTGATTTGCAGTGTTAGAACTCCTTTGTACCTCATTTCTGTTTGATACCTCTGAAAGAAGGAAAGAGAAAAGGATACTAAAGAATAAAAAGAAAAAAACTAAGTAAACTAAATACAAGTTTTTTAAGCTTTTCCCCCTCACTACCCATCTTCACCCATAACCTTTAGGAGAAAAAGATCTTAGGTGATTCATGGTGGTGAGTGGTTCTCTGGCCTCACACCTTTTCTCCCATGAGTCCACTATGAGTGTGCATGCCCAGTGCCACCTAGAACTTTGTTTTGAATTGGCTTAAGTTGGCACCACATGTACCATTATTTCTTGTTTTTATGACACTCTGTTATCATCTAGTAATGATGAAATTGATTTTGGCAGTTACTGTTTTGTGAACCTCTCCTTTGCTTCAGGTCTGTACCCCAGCTCTTAAAATGCATGCGTTAATGAAAGTGATCTTATCCTCACAGGCTCAAGACAATCGATATTATAGTGCGTAGCATTCAGGATGCTGAACTCTTGGTGAAAGGTTATGAGATCAAGCTGAGTCAAGAAGAAGCAGTACCAGCAGATCTCTCAGCTCTGGAATCCCATCGCTCTACATTACGGGTTGGTTGCTCTGAGCTTCTTAGGAGGTTGACTTACTATAGGGGTGAGCAAAAGTAGGTTTACAGTTGTGAATACATGAAACAGTTTATTCTTGTATTATTATTTATTAATTATTGTATCATTTATTTGTATTACAACTGTAAACCTACTTTTCTACCCTTCAACTCTACCCTCCCGCCTACAGTATATCACATGTTTTGAGTTAGTGGAGAAATACCATTTTGGATGGCATGACATTGATTCTGAGCTTGCATTTGAACTAGGCAGATAATCATATTTAATGTATTTTACTGTAGACTCAAAGAAGAAGAGACTGAGAAGTACGTCTGGCTAGAAAGAGGGGATAAAGGACTATGCTTTTCTATTTATCTTCACCTTTTCTCCCGAGTAAAATCATGGCTTAATTGGATACCATCAGTGGTTTTGCTGTATGTTTGTAAATCACTTAGCTGTTATTTCATTTGATTTTCCCTGTGAGGTGGATAGGGAAGGGATTTTTATCTCCACTTACAGGTGAGAAAACAAAGAGTCAGATTGACTAAATGACTTACCGTGGTTTCATAGCTTATAAGTGATAGAGCCAGGTTTCAAACACAAGTTCTTTACGCACTTCTTTGTACTGTACTGCCAGCCCTTGGTGCCTGACGACTGTGGAGGCATTTCTGGCACAGACATTATAGGGTCTAGCTTCTGAATCACAGATATAATGTGGAGCCAGCTGTTGATCATGTCCTTGTTGTCTGTCTTAATCTGAGTCTTTTTTAATTTTTAGCATGGAATATGTTTTAATCTTGTGTTACTGTGCTTGTGTTTTTATAGCACTGGCTTAGTGATGTGAAGGAAAAGAATTCAGTGTTTTCAGTCCTTGATGAGGAAATTGCCAAGGCCAAGGTAGTAGCAGAGCAGCTGAGTCGCTTGACCCCAGAACGAAACCTGGATCTGGAGCGCTATCAGGAAAAAGGTTCCCAGCTACAGGAACGTTGGAACCGGGTCATTGCCCAGCTTGAGACACGGTAAGTGATAGCCCTTCCTTTTTCTCCTGTTAGGGTTCAGAGAACAGGTTTTAAACAAAAATAGTTATATCTGTGTATTCTTATTTAAAGGCAGGAATTGATAGGGAGAGTGAGAAATTAAATGGCATTACGAATTCTGGACAAGATAAGTGACAGGAAGTTGGGACCACCAACCCCAAAGCAGACTTAAGTCTTGCTTTTGAGTCAACATGATGGTTCTGTTAAGTAGTACCTCCCCTGTGTCCCAGGCCTTATCTGGTTAAGACATGATGACAATGGTGTCTTGAAACATAGACTGGAAAGGTGACCTGGTGATCTTCTGTCAAGGACAGAACCTGAGTTTCAGATCTGGTTTTACTAGCTTTGAATCTGAATATGAACCATTTTCATAGTGGACCTTTGTGGAGTTTCTTGCTTCCTTTCATTTGCTAATTCAGTGATTTTTGTCTCTGTAATTTGAGATCCTACTTCTGATGACTAATTTGAATAGGAAAGATAGAAGGCTACCTATCTGAAGCTAAGTTGGGTAGACAAATATATAGGGAGAGGAGTTAGATAACAACTAATGTAAGTTTGGATTGACCCTCTATAATTGAATTACGTATCCCAAGGCAGGCTAGGCTAGTAAAAGTGATATAAGAAACTGTTAACTGAAATTAAGAGTAAATAACTACTATTTTTCACCCACCCGACCCCCGCTGTCCTCCCCAAGAAATTACAGTGATTCATAAATCATAGCTAGGGTAATCTGACAGGTACTCTGTCATCAGGGGACAGAAGTGTACAGCTAGTACTACCTTATTGGCAACCCTGTCAGTCCTTGGCAATCTAAGTAAACAATTTGACAAGGATTATCATGAGATGCCAGGCTCTAAGTAGTTTCCAGGGCCAGCAGGGCACAACTGCTCTCAAATTACTTTTTACCTTTTAGGGCACTGGGTGCATGCATAGCTTCAATGTTATATTGCTGTTCCTTCCAAATAAAGAGTTATCCTCAGCAATCAAGCTCAACTGGAGGCACAGGCTAAGGAGAGAATGGTCTCATTTACTTTATTGACGCCAAGATATTTGATAGCAGTTTTTCTCTCTTCCTCAGCCAATCTGAACTAGAAAGTATCCAGGAAGTTCTAGGAGATTACCGAGCCTGCCATGGTACTCTCATCAAATGGATTGAGGAAATGACTGCCCAGCAGGAAATGATGAAGCCAGGCCAGGCAGAGGATAGCAGAGTGCTATCCGAGCAGCTCAGCCAGCAGACGGTGGGTGCGGGTGCAAAGTTGTCAAGGGTGGGAGGAATTAGCTCATCATAAAAGATGATGTGTTAGCAATTAAGCTTCCCCAAATGGTAAAACATTCTCAGCCTGTCTTCTGAAAAGGGTTGAAGCAGGATGATCTCAAGATACTGATGTTGCATTTAGACCAGATGACCTATAAGTTCCCTTTTAATCCTGAGTTTCTAAAAATATATATTGAAATCACTTGATGAACACATTAAAATTATTTTGGCTTATTTTGTTTCTTAATATTAAATTGTGTTGTACTAGGATTAGAATGTGGGAGAATGAAAACCCAGGGAAAGCTATGAGTGGAAGAAGGTTATTTCATTCAAAGCAGTTTTTATTTCTTGATATATTGGAGTCGTTTGCTTTGTATAGTATTACAGTTAGGTTGCCTGGATTCCAATCCTGGTTTGCTCACTTACTGTGAAACCTGGAGCAAATTACTTAATCTCTCATTATTCTATTTCCTTATCTGTAAATCGGACATAGTCTATTATTTGTTCAGCTGACCTTATAAAGTTATTGTTGTTATAATTAAATGAAGTGATACATGTAAAATACTTAAAACGGTGCCTTTTGAAGTGTGGACCCCAGGCTTTCAGCATCATCTGGGAGCATGCTAGAAACGGAAGCTCTCTAACCCAATCTCACTGAATTAGAAACTCTGGAGGAGGGGCCCAGTAATCTGTGTTTGATGCTGTCTTCCACATGATTCTGATTCAGCTAAGGTTTAAAACCCACTGCCGTAGAACCTAATAAATGTTCAACTGTTTCAGTGATGGTAATGACAATGATAATGTGTTATTTTGGTTCCCAGGATCTGTTCGCAGAAATTGAGAGAAATCAGACAAAACTGGACCAGTGTCAGAAGTTTTCCCAGCAGTACTCCACTATTGTAAAGGTAACTATACCACATCCCAAAAGGAACATAAATGATCTTCAGCTTCGGAAGACCTGCATTGTCACTCTAGGTTCTTTTTTCTTTTTTCTTGGAAAAGTAAGTAGAGCTCTTCTGCTATAGGCTAGTTCCATCCTTCCATTAAGTGCAGAGGTGTACTTCTCATGGCCCCGCATTTGAGGGGTGCTCAGGAAGATGCCAGACACCAGGAGTCTCTATTTGGGTGACCCATGGGCCTCTGAAATTTAGCATGTCAAAAACAGAATTTGGGGGGTTTGCTTACCATCTTCCTTATCTGAGGATACAGTGTTACTATTTTCCTGTTTATTGAGGGAGAAAACCGCCTCAACATTCTTAAGATTTCTCTTTGCCTTAAACTTTATGTCAGTCTTTGAACAAGTTGGCTCCATCTTTCAATATGTCTTAGATATTACAGCCTCTCATTAGCCACCCCCTCGCCATTTCCCTGGTTTACATCCAAGTGAGGAATCTTCCTTGGACTACTTTACCTCCAAGCTGATTTCTTCCTTCTGTTCCTGTCTCACAGGTAGTTTTCCCACACAGTAGCAGACTCACCTTTTTAGAGCAGAATACGTGTTATAGAATTGCAGACACCAGCTATTAAGAAGAAACTCTGCCAGTTATGCAAATGCCATTGATTATAAGATGTATTCCAATTTTAGAGCTACTAAAATGTGGAGAGAATTTGTACCTTACAATAGATAAAACATAGTAAATTGGATCATGTCATTCTCCTGCTAAAAACTGTCCAAAGGGTTCATGTCATTCTCATTGTAAAATTTTACATTCCTATGTGGTTTATGAGGCCATGCCTGGTTTGCTCCATCCCACCCCCCATTTCTCTGATAACATCTTTAAATAAAAATGACCTGAGGTTATTATATATTTATTTGTTTATTATGTGCTTTCTTACTAGAATGTAAGATCCAGAGGAGGCACAAGATTTTTTCTGACTTGTTCTCCACTATATATGTATCACTCAGAACAATGATAGGCATACAGTAGATGCTCAACAAGTAGTTTTTGAATGAATACATTTCTTTAGTTAATAAGACTTGGTGTCATAAAGATGAGTCAGGCTTTAGACTTTGAGCAAGCACTTAGGCTCTCAGTTTATCTGTTGTGATATCTACAAGATGGGAATAGCAACAGCCTGGGATAATGTATATATAGGACAATGCCGCATACCTAAAATACATTCAGTAAGTGGTAGGATATGCTTTTATTATTATTACTACTACTACTACTACTGTTTTTCTATAGGTTGCTGAAGGAACTCATTACATATTTCCCTCCTGCTACAGTTTTCTATGTAGACAACAGAAAGCAGGGCACTCTAGAGGAAAGGAACTGCATGATCAAAGGCACAGTGGAATGAACATACAATGAGGGGATGGGAAATTATTTTGATTTCACTAGAATGAGTATGGTGCAAAAGAAGCAGTGACTAGAAAATGAGGGAGGCTGGGGCCAACCTCTGAAAGGTCTTGTTCAGTTCTTTTGGCTTTACTTTGTATTCTTGCTACTCAAAATGTGGTCTTTGAACCAGGAACATCACCTGGGAGATGATTAGGAATGCAGAGTCTTCAACCCACTGAATCAGAATTTGCATTTTTAACAATATTCCCAGGTTATTTGTATGATGTTGATGTTTGAGAAATTTTTGCTCTAGGTCATTGAAAGCTTTTAAGCAGATGGATGAAGTGGTCATCTTTGTTTTAGAAAAGTTACTCTGGTGGCAGTATAGCAGATAAATTGGAGGTGAGATCATAAGCAGGAGAGTAACTAGGAAGCTCTTGTACCTGCCTTTTGAGAGATGAAGAGGGCCTGGACTAGGGCAGCACTCTCAGGATTGCAGAGGATGTGACAGAATAGCATGGCAACATGGATAGAACATTGGTTTGGCAACTAGAAAACTGAGATTCTAATCTTGACTTTGTTGCTCATCCACTGAGTTAATTGGGGAAGTTCATTTCCTGTCTCTGGGCTTTAGTTGCCCATGCATGAGATGAAAAGGATGGTCAGCAAACAGACTGCAAACTCAGGAGTCAGCAACGTGACCTACAGGCTAAATGTAGTCTGTATACCTACTTTTATATGGCCCATAAGAAGTGGCTAAAAAACATGAATACAAATGATACTTTGTGACATGTGAAAATTATAGGAACTTCATTCAACTTTCAGTGTCCGTAAATAAAAGTTTTACTATAATACAGCCATGCTGTTTCATTTACTTATTATTGTCTGTGGCTGCTTTCACTTACAATGGCAGAGTTGAGTAGTTGTGATAGAGATGGCATGGCCCAATAGTTTTATTCTGTCTCTTTACAGAAAAAGTTTTTAACCTTCAGTTTGAAAGATCACCAAAATGCCTTCCAGCAGTGAACTGCTGATTTCTGTTACATGATGTGTGTGAGCTATAAAGCCCTATGTAAACATGGTAAAATTCCTTCCTCCTCAGGACTATGAATTGCAGCTGATGACATACAAGGCCTTTGTGGAATCACAGCAGAAATCCCCTGGCAAGCGCCGTCGCATGCTTTCCTCTTCAGATGCCATCACGCAAGAGGTGAAAGAGTGGGGAAATGACATAGGCCACTGTCTTTGGGCCTTGCAGTTTGATTTACAGCTCACCTTTCTGTTGAGCATGTGACTTCAAGAAAATTTCCCTTTATTTTCAACTATTTAAATTTATTTTTCTGATGGGTAATTTATCTAATTTTTTTTTTAAACCATAGTTCATGGACTTAAGGACTCGTTACACAGCATTGGTGACGTTAACAACTCAGCATGTAAAATATATCAGTGATGCACTCCAGCGGCTGGAAGAGGAGGAGGTGAGGACAGTTGGGTCCTAAATCATCTTAAAAATGGAATTGAAAACCTTATGCCTCATCTGTCACAATTTAAAGTGCACACGCAGCTGATTTTCTTTATTCATAGTCTTTCTATGAGGTTGCTAGAAACACAAAGTTAGTGAATACTGAACTCTTGCACCCAGGAGAAATACAGGGTTAGGCTCCTGCAAGCCTCTGGTCACAACATTTTTGTTAGTAGATAATGCATAAACTTGTTTTATGTATATTTTTATTTAAAAACACCTTACTTAATGTAGTTTGTTGATTCACTGACATTAAACTCATAGCCAAGAGCTAACTCAGTCCTGAGCAAAGGTTATTTAACACACATTATCTCCATAAGGCACGTCATGGCCTTCCTGTTCTGAGGAACACAAGAGAGTATCTCAGCCCTGCACTTGGGCCCATTTTAAACAGTAAAATCACCAACAGAAAACGCAAAAATACGAAAACCATGGCACTAAACAGACTGCAAAAAGGATACTTGTTTACAATATAAATGGAACAAGAAGGCAGAGTGTCACCTATTCTACCCCAGCTGGGAACATTGGGTGACTGAAATATTTCGCTACCACTCTGTGTATGTCTGGGAATGCCTGTGAAAAAGCACAAATACTGATTTTGGAGCTACAAATAAATTTGAGTAAACAAAATTCATAAATATGGATTCTATGAATAATTATGAGGATTGATTGTATTATGTCCAATACTCACTTCCAAGTATCTTTATTATGGAAGTACTGTAAATATGAAGGAAGAGTGTGAACAAAGATCCTTAATAAAACATGATTTGTTAAAGGGAAATATTAGAAACATCCAAATTTTATACAATGAAATTTCTATGAAGCTGTTAAAAATATGAAATAGATTTAAGTGAACTGACACAATACATTGTTTGAGGGAAAAAGTTATGTATAATTACAGTTTCAGTAAAAACAATACTATATGTACCACAAAGACACAATATGTGCATATAAACAACTTTAGAAGTTTATATGCCAAGTTTCTGGGGAAATGATATTAAGAGGTATACATTATATATTTTAGGTTATTTTAATTTTTTGTAATAAGTATGCAATATTTTATAATTATAAAAGTCATCTGTGTCTTTGCAAAATAAATTCCCACATATTCAACTACTCTTGTAAAATGCTTTTGGAAGCATTTACTCATACCAGCTTTTGCCTGTGTAAATTAGGAAAAGACTTCTTTAATGTCAATACCTACCTCACTTTACTTCAATCTCTTTGCCTATAAATATAAGAATTATGAAAATAAGTAAGCTGCCGTGTGTGTGTGTGTGTGTGTGTGTGTGTGTATATGAAGAGCTTTTTTAAAATCAGTAAATAGTTATTGAGTACCTATCATATATAAAACTGTGCTTTTTTAGAAAGGTGTTAACCTAGATAAAATGGACTTAGCTATTAGTATCCCATAGGTAGTCACCTGTGAGCAGTTCTGTAGGCTAGCTAAATTATATTTAATTTGGGTTATTTTAGCTGCTTACTGCTTTAGGTTGTTTCATGTCTCTATTTTAGGAGATCTGAAGTCAGGCCAGTCTAATAAGACTGACCAATATACTGATTTTTCTATTTCCTGTTCTAGAAAGTAGTAGAAGAGGAAAAGCAAGAACATGTGGAGAAGGTTAAAGAACTTTTGGGCTGGGTGTCTACCCTGGCAAGGAACACACAAAGCAAAGCTACCTCATCCCAGACCAAAGAACTGACAGACATTGAAAAAGCTATTTTAGAACAGCAGGTAAGGAGAAGGTCCACCTGACTCTTTCTGGATATAATAATATATGCTAATGCATTAGGTGGTATAATACAAGTTACATATAGGCCACCCAGGAATAATTGTTACCTCAGTAAATGTTAATTTTCAAGACTTAAGAAGTCATTTATATTTCTATCTTTTTAATCAATTGTATATAGCTCATTAGGAATAATAATCTGACCTAAGCTAAGTTTTCACTTTGATTTTTAAACAAGTTATTTCAAATAATTTTTGATTCTTCAATTTTTGGGGGGTTCTGAAGCTTTTCTCTTTATTTCTACTAAATAGGTTCTGGCAGAGGAGCTGACAACAAAGAGAGAACAAGTCTCTGACGCCATTAAAACTTCACAGATCTTCTTGGCCAAGCATGGTCATAAGTAAGTATTAAATGAGAGGTTATGCCACATCTGGGAGGCCAGATATACCTGGGAAAAACGTGGGGTCATGACAAGAATTCAGGGCAGCAGGAACTGTGTGGTAAAGAGCCTTGTAGTTCATGCTGAGGAGTTTGCATTTTACTTTGTTGGCTATGAGGAGGGATCATAAACATGAATGGATTTTGATGATAAAGGTTTCTGTTTGATAGAGAATGGATTGACATGGGGCAAGAATAGGGTTCTAAGTGACCAAAGAGGTTGTTCTGATAATATAGACAAGAAATGATGAGGGGTGGAGAGGGGGCAATGATTCTAAAGATATTAAGGATGATGAACTTACGGGGTTTGGTGACAAACAAAAGTTACCAGATATAACTCTCTGATTTATGGCTTATACCACTGGGTATATGGTGATGCCATTAACCAAGAGATGTGTTACAGAAGAAGGTATGGATTGAGGGAAAAGAGGGCAGCTTTAGTTTTAGACATTATGAATGTGAAGGCCCCATAGGACATCAGAATGGAAATACCTAACACCTTAATTTATGCCTTACATAGTTCCACTAAAGTTATCCAGTGGGCAGCTGCATATGTAAATTTAGAAATAATGAGAGAAGTTTAAAGTGATGGAGATTTGAGTCATCAGCATAGTAGAAGCCATAAAAGTAGATTAATTTACAAGGGGTTAGGGGCTTCTGAATGGTTCTTGTAAAAGGAAAATTGTGAATGCTATCTCAGAACCCAATAGAGAAAAGAATTCCAAAAAGAAAGGAGTGGTCAGAAGTCAAGAAAGGTTAAGACTGAGAAGTGTCTGTTAAATTTGGCAAGTTGGAAGTTTTTCGTGACTTGGGTGAAAAGTTAGGGGATAATGTCAGATTTGGTATGATGGGGAGACCATGAAGTGAGGAAGGTAGTGATAATGAAATTAGACACTCCTTCAGGAAGCTTGGCCATGGGAAAGGAAAGAAATAATAAAGTAGAAATAATTAGAATAGACTATATAATCAAGGAAGAGATTTGTTGTCTCTAAACACAGACAAGTTCCTCTAATCTTTTATGAACTGTGTCTCAAGGACCTAAAGGCAGAAAGATTGAAGTAATAGGGGAGGTGTTCCAGAGGATGTCAGAGAGGATAAAATTCATCACTGGGTGGAAAGTACACCTTAAATAGGAGTCAAGACAGGTTCCAGTCTGAAGTCTGAGAAAGAGGAGATTAAGAAAGATGTGCATAGAGGTTAATATGCCAAGAATAAAGCTAGAAAGGGAGAGAATTAGTGCCTAGTAGTCTGTATTTTCTATTTGAAATAGGTAAAGAGGTTGTTTGCTGAACGTTGTAGTGGTATTGAGAGGAAAGAAGGAAGAATTGACTGCAAGCCTCCAAGAGGAGTGTCAGAAAGCATTGAGGTCTAGACGAGGTTAGAACCCAGTAGGATCTCTTCTCCAAGGTTGTGAAATTTCTCCCACACTGGTCATACTTAGCAGCCTGCACGTGGGAGCAGGGAAGTCCAGTGGTTTGATTGATCTGGGGCTGAAGTTTTATCAGATTAGTGGATAAGAGGATTAGTAGGATAATAGTAAGAAACTAAGATGATGGACTGGGGTGGTAGTAATAGAGAGGACTGATAGATGAAGAGAAAATGGAGCAGTCAAGGAAGACTTGGATACGCTCAGTAAGTGGATGGATAGTTCTAACATAAATCACAGGATTCATTCTTAAAAACATAATGTAACATGAGAAAAGGGACTTGTAAAATTTACCTAATTCAAAATAGTGATTGCCTCTGGGGAGAAAGGGAAAGTAGGGGTTGGTGACATCACATTGGACTTTATATCTGTAATGTCTTATTTCTAAGAAAAGGCTCTAAAGCAAATCTGATAAAATATGAAAATTTGGTAAAACTGGATAGTTGGGTAATTGGTAAATGAAAATTTGTTACAGTATTCTTTTTGTTTAAAATGTTTTATTTTAAAAAGAGGTTTAAGAATAAAGAAAGAAAACTAGAAAGGTGGGGTTATAATTAGGAGTTACACTCAGGTAGTAAACTGTTAAAGTTTAAAATTTCAGAAGTGGAATAACTTTAGATGATGCCAGGGTCCAAGTTTGCCATGTGAGGGTGGGTCTAAAGTGGAGTGGAGGCCATTTGGCTTGAGAAGATTGCAGGACTACAGGCCTAGGATGTTAATAGACGGTTGGTCACATGAGCATTGACATCACCAAGAATCATGACTTGAATTGCGATAAACAGGAAAACTCTTAAGTTAGAAACCAAAAGTGTTCAATGAGTATGATGCTCTGACCAGATGATCCATAGTAACCAATGACAAGAATACCATCCAAGATGGAGAAATCATGATTGTGAAGCAACAGAGGAGAATTTGGAGGAAGGTTTTTCTCTAAAAGGCCTTTAATGCTTCGTCTTCCAGGCTCTCAGAAAAAGAGAAGGAACAGATATCTGAACAATTGAATGCCCTGAATAAGGCTTACCATGACCTATGTGATGGTTCAGCAAACCAGCTTCATCAACTTCAGAGCCAATTGGCCCAGCAGACAGAACAAAAGGTACTTTTAGTTTTACTCTCCAAAAGGTTACCTTTTGAATGGTATGAAAACAGCTTTGCTGATTGAAAGTCATGATCATTAGCTTTCCATGACCAATGTGACTTAATTTTTTTAACCTCATTGTAGCAGCCATTTGTCTTGTGTTTCTTTACTGGGGTTCCATGATGTGTTGGTCAGTCAAAATACGAGAAGGCATTTATGGCTGTCCCTTTAGATCTGGTTCACCATTTTTGCTGTCTGTCATTTTGTGGCATAATGTAGTCAAGGAGAACATAAATTTTATATCTAATCACAGAGCAATAAGATTGCTCCTTTGTGACATTGTCACTCACAAGTTGATAGCCAAGAGCTCAGAATATTGGGAAGGAAAGACCATGAACCCCTTCCCCTCATACTTTTTTTCATGTCTATTAAATAAATGAGAAATGTTTATTTGCAAAGCAAATTGGTGGATTAGCTGCACTGACTGAGACGCTGGTTCCCCGTACCCATAGTCATCTCATCATGTGACATCTTTACCAGTTCCCACTCATGTTCATTTCCTGGACCATATAAAAATTGTTAAGTTCCTGCTGGTTGTCCTGAGTTCTTCCTGGATACTTGTGTATATGTAAACTTACCTTATTATATACATGTGTCTCTGGGATATATATGTGTGTTTGCCTGCTTATTTCCTATGTTGTGAAGCAATAACCAACTTATGTGGGGCAGGCCAAAATTAAAGCTTATGTGGTAACCAAATTTGGTCTAGATGATGCTCAAAATGATATTCAGACAAATGTGCTTTGACTCTGGTCCTTGGATATGAAATTTGTGTGGCAGGAGCTAGAGTTGTAAAGACCACAAGACAGAACTAGCTATGATTTGAGAGTAGATTTTCAAAAAGAATGTGCTGTTTTAGCATTCTCTACAGTAGCCCACTTTTAATGGCTTGTTGCTTCACCATATAAGAGTGTACGTGAAAAGTTTTAACAATTGCTTGCTGAGAACATCCAGTTCTCATTTTGAAAGGTTTTAAAAGGGGAGGAAAAAAAAAAAGACAAGCTGCTGAGCACCACTACATTGAGCATGATGTGTCCCTGTTACTGTTTGTGTGTTTCATGTGAAGTATTGTTCTGATTAACTGACATCCTTGCTTACAAGTTTCACTAACCCTTTGGAGTTTAAGCACAAATGCACAAAGGGAAAAGAGGACGACCTGTTTGGGGTTCTTTTTTTGCAAAAAACAAACAAACAAAAAAAAAAACAGTCGCATGCTGGACGCTAACACCAAGCTTACACTGTGTGTGCGATACGGCTGAGCTCCTCCATAAGGCTCTATCTCTTATCTGCCCAAGGCGTGCCCTGCAATTCTGGTAAGTAGAAGCCTTTTATGTTTTCTTTTCTCCTCTCCTTGTGTCTTTTTCTTCTTGTTTAGATCAGACTGCCCATGTTTGGTGGTACTAAATGGGTTTCTCTGGATTATTTCCCAGCTCAGTGCATCCTGCCTGTCCTCTAGTAATGAGGGTGTTGGAAGGAACAGTGTGTAGTCTTTTCCCTTTGGTGAGATTCCAGGCCTTTCTTCAATATTAGTATTCTGAGACTCTGTGAAACTCACAGGAAAAATTAAAAGTTCACAGAAGAATCTTTCCCTTTGTCATATTGTCTGCCTCTGAGTAGTCTTTACATGGATTTTGTCAAAGGAGCTTTTCATTTATCATAAAAGATTCATATGGCTATGCGATTTTTTCTTAAATCTTTATAGAACAGATAACTTAGAGTTGGGTAATATTCATTTACCTTATATACAGGTTAAACTCTACATTCTGAGTCAGAAAAGAAGGAGGGATGGGGAATAACATAATATTTCAAATAGTATGGAGATTTTGTCAGTTGTTCCATTATTTGAACAAATACAGTGGGATGGAGAAGAAAACCAAATCTGTTCCCTCATTTTCTCCCTCCATTCTGCATCTCTTATAGTGTGCCATTAATCAAGCTTGAAATCCTCAGTGATGTTTTTAAAATCTGGGGGAAATAGGTTAATGATTCAAAGAAATTTTTCTTTTACTATTTATCAATTATTTATTCATGAAATGTTTATTGAACTGCTGTTACTGTTCCTAGACACTGAATGGACAAAATATTGTACCTGCTCCTATGGTGCTTGCTTCTCACTTAGGCAGAAATGAAATAAATACATAATTTAGGAGTCAGGGAAGTGCTTGGCAGTTGCTTCAACAAGGTCCTCCATGGATAAGTTAAAGAGTTAAATAAAGATCAGAAATTATTGGGTCTGCCAAAAAGTTCATGTGTTTTCTTCCTGTAAAATAAAAGATATATTTCTCATTTTCACCAATAACTTTATTGATTTGGGTATTTTGAGTATGTCTGCTATCTCCCTTTTGGTATAACATTGATTGTTCTCAATTAATGCCTTGATTTGATCACTATCAACTTCAACTGCTCTACCTGACTGTAGAGCATTTTCCAGCAAGAAATCTCCAGCACAAAACTTCACAAACCATTTTTGACATGTATAATCAGTCACAGCACCTTTTCCATACACTGCACAAATTTTTTTTTTTTTTTTTTTGCATTTCTGTTGTGTTTTACTTTTCTGGGAATAATGAAGCATAATATGCCAGAAAATGTTGCTTATTTTCTTCCATCTTCAGTACTAAAATAGTTACACAAAAATTCACCAATGTTAATAATTTTTTTAAATGCACACTGATAATGACAGCTGTCACAATGCCATCTAACAAAATTGTTTCGAATGAACTAAGTGCTACTAGAGCCATCATATCGGAAAAAGCCAAAAATTTTTTGGCCAACCCAATAATATTGACCAAAGGAGGACAGATAAAACCATCTAAAGAAGATGAAGATAACATGCTCTTCTGGATCTGACTAGGAAGGCAGTGTATCAGCCCAGGATTTAGTCAAGATCTTGGTATGATCCTGGAACTCACCAGTTTTGTGACCTTGAACAAGTACCTTACCCCTCCATGTCTCATTTTCTCACCTGCTAACTAAAGATTAAACTAATTCTTTTCTTACAATTGTTGTGAGGCTTAAATATTAGTGCTCAATAAATATATTAAGTGCCCAACAAGTAGCAGTTAAATGATAGTGGTTACTGTTCATTCTAACCTGGACTAGAAAAAATGTTACTAGTGGTTCTAGAGGCAAAGGTCCCCAGTCTGTTCTTTCCTTGACTTGCTAATTCCAGTTCCTAGAGCTGATTTACCTCAGATCCATTCCCTTGGCAAGTGCTAGCATTAACCACCAAGAGTATGACTGCCCCAGTTGCTAAACAGCTGCTTGAGTAATATAACAGGGCCTTTTACTGAGATACACAGCTGTTGTGTGAGTATAAGGAAGCTTTAATCTCTCTTCTAATCCTGTGGACTGGTCCTGCTGAACCGATTAGCAGGGAAGTACTACCTCAAGAATCTTCTACTTTGGTTTCAACGCTAAGAAGTTGTTATATGGGGTTGAATTCTCATTTTGGGGAACTGGTATGTGTTTTAAGAACCTTTGTAGTGAATTCATCTTAGAAATAGCTGTTCTGTCACTTTCACTGCTTGCAATTTTGTAGAGCTTGTCATTCTAGTATGCTTAATGCTGTCATTCTTCAAGTAATCTGTGAATTTATGGCCTTATTAAATGTTTCGCAGTTTAGGGAAATTCTTTTTTAGCATTAACACTACCAGGCTTCAGAATATTTCTTATATTTTGGGGCTTTTCCTAGGCTGGGATTTTCTCGTGGTCAGAATTTGACATACATGGTGGTATAAAAGTAGATTTACAGTTGTGCATATGGAAAATAATATAATTAATAAAACAAGAATAAACTCTATTTTTCATGTACTCACAACTATAAACTTAACTTTTGCTCTACCCTGAAGTATAGTTCTTTGAATGACTCCTTTCAGTACTTGTGCTTCTCTGATTTAGTTTTCTTTTTCATTTTTTCTTTCAGGGTTGCAGAGCAGTTGCTGGGGTGATTGACCTAGGCACAGTGGAGATATTTCCCATCTTCAGAGCCATGCAAAAGGGCCTCATTGACCATGACACAGGCCTTGTGCTCCTGGAATCACAGGTTATCTTGGCCGGCCTCATTGCCCCTGAGACCAGTGAAAAGCTCTCTTTGGAGGAGGGCCTAGCTAGAAACCTCATTAGTCACCAGCTATACCAGCAGCTCCAGCAGCTACAGGATACTCTGTCCTTAGTAAGCAAGCTTACTGAGAGCAAAGGCCCTCTTTCTGTAGTGGAAGCAATTGAGAAGAACATTATCAGTGAGAGAGTTGGACTGAAAATCTTAGAAGCTCACTTGGCAACTGGAGGTTTCAGTGTCTTCCTTAATGAGAAGTGTATTAACCTAGAGGAGGCTTTCCACCAGGGCCTCATTTCTGAACGGCTTCACTCAGAGTTAGAGTCTCACCTGAGATTATCCAAGAATTTGATAGACCCCAATACAGCTGAGAAAATCGGTTTGCTGGATCTGATGCAGAGATGTATTGTCCACCAAGAATCAGGGTTGAAATTATTGCCTGTCAAGCAATTGGCAGGGGGAATGGTGAGCTTGAAATCAGGCCGGAAGGTTAGCATTTTCCGTGCAGTTCAGGAAGGCCTAATAGATAGGCAGGTCACTGTCCGACTACTGGAAGCTCAGCTTTTTGCTGGTGGCATAGTAGATCCAAGAACAGGACACAGACTTACAGTAGAAGAAGCTGTAAGACATAATTTGATTGACCAAGATATGGCCTGTGCTATACTCATAAGGCAGCTTCAGACAGGCGGCATCATAGACACTGTCACTGGCCGTAGGCTGACAATAGATGAAGCAGTAAGCCATGATCTGGTAGCTCCGAAGATTGCTCTTGTGATTCTAGAGTCCCTTTGGTCATTCATGGGGTTGCTATGGCCTGAATCTGGAGAGATCCTCCCAATTACAGATGCTCTGGAACAAGGTATTGTGTCTACTGAGCTAGCTCATAAAATCCTTAGTGGACGGCAGCACATTAAAGCTCTGTTTCTGCCAGCAACCACAGAGATTTGGTCCTGGAAAAAAGCAATAGAAAATGGTGTGTTGGACAAAGATCTTGCTAATAACTTACAATCAATTTGCATACCTGATGTGATGCCCCACATGCGATTAGCAGATTCTTCAGAACAGAGCAAGGTGAACATTAATCCTGGAGCATCAGATCTGTTGTGCAACAAGGGCCAAACTGAGGGCATGACAAGCCATAGTGAGAAGCTGTTGTTTCAGCTGATGACTCACAGCTATATTAATGTGCGGAATGGACAGAGGGTCCTCCTGCTGGACAGTGAGCTGATAGAAAAACTAACAGCAAAAGGTGAATATCGACCAAGTCCTCTAGAAGTATTTGTAACTGGGCCTCAGAGACGAGAAACTCCTGAGGAATTACAAGAATCAGCGAATGTGAAAATCACAGAAACTTTCTGTGATAGGCTGACTGTGAGGCCATGTGAGTTCCACTCTTCCTCTCAGAACAAAGAATACCCCAATCAGGCAAATGACACCGAAGCAGAAGGCAGAAAGATTATTGTAATAACGGAAGGTTCCTCTATAGAGAACCCTGAAAAAGACCTATTTGTAGCAGAACAAAAAGTGAGAAATCTAAATGTTGATACTTCGAAGGTCATAGGTCAAATTAAATCAGAGTTTAAAAGGCAGTTACCAGGTACCAAAAAGGAAGACTTAACAGAAGTGCCTACCAGGGAAAACATCCACAGAGGATTTCTCTTTGCAGTACCCTCTGAGGAAACAGAAGATATGACCTCGGTGGTAGACAGAAATCCTGTTTCTGTTGAAACACCAAAGGAAGAATGGCAGACTCTCAGAAAGACTCCCATTATATGTCAGAAAGAACAAGCAAACACAGTTGAAATTGAACATATTCCAGGTGAAACTGGAAGACCTATCATAAAACCCAAAAGCAAAAAGTCACAATTTGAGGTAAAGAAAACTTTAGATTTAGAATTAGAACTCAAGTCTGAAAATGACATGAATATTCATTCTCTGGACAAAAAGAAAGTCTTAAGCGAAACATTTTTGGGTGAAGATGTCCATAAACAAAGTCCAGAAGATCAAAACATTGTGGGTGGTAGTATAATGATTTTAGAAAAAACAGGTGAGGTAGATCATGGTAGTAAAGCTTCCCTGTCATGCTGTCATTCTTCAGACTTGCTTGAGGAAGCTACCTTAAATATATTATCTACACAATTACTAGATGGTGGTATATTTCATGAACAAACAGGTCAACAGCTCTTACTGAATGAAGCGATAGCCCGAGGCATTGTGCCTAGTCATACTGCTGTGAAACTTATGGGAAAGCTGAACATGTTTCGAGGCTTCTTTGACTCTCAGACTTGTGAATCTTTGACAACTGAAGAAGTCATCAATGAAGGTCTGATGGATGAGAAATTATTACATAATGTCCTCATGGCAGACAAAGCTATCAGTGGTGTCTTAGACCCCCGTACCCACACACTCTGCTCTGTGAAAGAAGCAGTTGCTGTTGGACTTCTTGACACACAGACAGCCACCAGAATTTTAGAGGGGCAGGTGGTGACTGGTGGAATCGTTGACCTGAAACGAGGCAAAAAGGTTTCAGTGACTTTGGCTTTAAATCTTGGCTTGGTGGACAGTGCTGACCAGACAGAGCTTATAAATCTGGAAAAAGCTTCCAAAGGCAGAGGTGCTGAGAAAACAGTTAGAGAGAGATTAATTAATTTACAAATGGAAACAACTGGAATTATGGATCCTGATAGCAAGGCCCCTCTAACAGTTACGCAGTCCATCGACAGAGGACTTTTAGAGAGAGAGGAGGCCATTCAGTTGTTGACTAAGCAGGTGGTGGATGGAGGTATCATTCACCATATATCTGGGATGAGACTTTCTGTTGATAATGCCTTTAAACATGGCATTATTGATGAAGATTTAGCCAAACAACTCCAAAAAGTTGAGAATTTAAGCCTCCATCAGTTTTTTCATCCTGAAACCAAGGAAACGATTTCCCTCTCTGAAGCTCTAAAATTAGATCTTGTTAACCCAGACTTGAAAAGAGAAATTCAAGAAATTCAGGCCTTGACTGCAAGCTTTATGGATCTCATTTCTGGCCAGAGATTGACCTTGGCAGAAGCTAAAAAAGAAGGGCTGTTAACTAATAAAGCAATGTCGTCTTCAGGAATGATGCATGGGATTGTAGATCCTGAGAATTGCAGAATTGTTCCCTATTCAGAATTAGTAAAGAAATGTAAGATTGATATTGAATCTGGACAGAGATATCTAGAAGTAATTCCCTTCTCAGACATTAAAGATGGAGTGAGTGACAAAGTACTTACATTGTCTCAAGCAACCCAGTTGGGAAAAGTAGACTTTGCATCTACACTGAAGGTTCTGGAAGCTCAGGCAAATACTGGGGGAATCATAGATACTGCCACAGGACAAAGACTGACATTAGCTTCAGCTTTGGAACAGAAATTGGTGGATGAAAACATGGCCAGAATTATCGCGTCTCATCAGGTACTAACTGGAGGAATCATTGACATATTTAATGATCAAAGAGTGACTTTAAAGGAAGCTATTGAGAAAAGATTTATCAGCCCTGAAATGGCAACTTTGATCCAAATAGATACTTTAGAGTCTAGTGCTCACAGGGCTGAGATTGAAAAGCAAGATGGAATTGAAGTATGTGAATTAAAGAAGGAATTTCTAAGAAAGGAAATGTTAATTACTTCTAATCAGACTGCTGAAGTGAGTTGTGGTAAAGAAGAAAGTGAGAAATTATTTCAAATTGGAAGTCATTCTGCACAAGAAAAGGTTAAAATGAGAGTTTCCGATGGGCAGCAGGCAGAAAAGAGCAGGGTAATTTCATTAAAAGGATTGGAGTGCAAGGATCAAAATAAGAGGAGAGCTTCTCCAGATGCTAATCAGTCTGTCATATCATTAGGCCAAGGTTCAGTGACACACCCTCACTCAGAAGTTTGTGATTTTAAACTCAATGAGGTGGCTAGGAACAACATGGAAAAAAATGTGAATGAAGAGCAGGAAAAAATAGTGTCACAAATAGAAATTATTTCTCATATGAAACAGTCTGTGTCGGGTTTAGATCATAAAGAAATAAGGGAAAACAAAAGAGAAATTATTTCAGAAGGACAAGAATCAAATTGTGAAACTTCAGGCAATTTGCTGAATGAGCAGATTATGCAGAAATCAGTTAATACCAGGGAGAAAAGGAAGAGAGAGAAGGAGATAATTATAGAAGATAGTGTCAAAACATGCAAATCATCAGTTCTTTCAGAAGAAAATTTGAACCAAGAAACTGCCGTTAGAGATGACCATGACTCCAATATAAAGAATCAACCAGTGGAAATTACCGTAATTGAAAAAGGGAAAAAGAATGATAGAGAACTGGGATTTTCTATTCTATGTGAAACTGAAGACTCTTCTTCCCCAATGATACCCAAAGGAATTTCCATAAGAAATCAAAATGTATTAAGTTTTTTCGACTCTAAGCTGGTCAATGAAGGAGAAGTCAAAAATTTAAGCCTTTGCTTGACTTTAAAACCAGAAGAAAATTTATCTCAAGAAATTACAAGTGGGGCCCAGAGTGAACCATTCTCTTCTATGCCCCTAAGACCTGAAGGATTGCAGTACCAAGAATCAGCTGGGAAAGCCCAAGTTGCAGACACATCCCGAATTTCCAAAACAGACAAGTCTTCCCAAGGAACCACCAGACAAGAGACCAATTATTATGAAGATTCCTGTGTTACTTCTAAGACTAGGGAAACCAAAGATTTGATTTGCTCATCTAATGACTGTAAAGAAAAATACCAGGAAGTACCTTTTGACTCAACAAAAGCTCTTAAATTGGAAGAAATTACAGTTTCTAGAGTAGACCCAAAAGAAGTCAGAAAGGACTGTCATCATCAGGACAGCAAAAGTGATAGTGAACTTTGTGGAATTCTTGAATCTAAAATGGTAACAACTCAGGAAATAACTGGAGAGAAATTTCTAGAAATGTCAAACCCTATAGTTACAGGTGCAGAGGTAGGGTCCTTTGAAAGCAAAGTGACTGAGGGAGTTCCTGGAGTTTTAGTGTCCCTTCCTCCAGAGAAATTGTTCAAAGATGTACCTGAAAAAGACAGTATAGGGCAGCAGGATGCCACCATTAGTCCCACTATTCCAGATGCCAGTGGGGAAAAGACAGGGCCCCTCATATGTACAGCAATGAAGATGGATGAGAAGACACTACAAGAAAAGCTCAGAGAAAGCCCTGGCAGTGAACAGACTCCCTTCCTGACTGCACCCAGGGGAGAGGGAAATGAAGCTGTATATACAGAACCATCCAGAGCAACTAAAGTAAGCTTCCCAGTGGGGGGGGGGGGGGGGGGGGTGTATGTGTATTTTAATACATAACTGGTTTAATGCTAAAACTATTGACTGGATACTGAGTTTGTATGTGTGTATTTTGTATCCATACATACATTTCAGGGCATTAGTAAACTAAGTATAGTTTACGGTTATCTGTTTTAAACACAGCTGTTGGAAAATTAGGCAGTGATTCTGTCTTTCTGAAATTTGCGAAGATTTTAACATAGAAACAAACAATGAAACTAATTTGAGATACTGGTGTGATTCTACCTAAAGTTAGAATAGGTTTTAGAAATTTTGCTAAAAGGGTGCTCACGGATTGATAATTATGAGCTTCTCCTTGCTGAGGAAGTTAATAAAATCTTTTTTGTCTTTTGATTTGAGAGAAGATAGATAAAATAATGTGTTATTTCATCCCACCGTAAGTGTAGTAAAAATTTTGATTTCTCTATCAGTAAAATCCAGCCTGCTTAAAAAACAGACTTAAAGGAGTATGCTAGGTCTGAGTGAGTTGTCTTTTTGGCTCCACAGAAAATATTTAACCGACGACTCTGTCTAGAACATGATGAAAAGCTAGTATCTTATCTGTCTCTATTACGAGACATTGAAATGAGGACCAAACAGATTCAACCTGTGGAGCGTAGCCTGAAAGAGCTACAGGATCTGCTGTGTCAGGCCAAGGTAGGTTCCCAGAGACTTCCTTCCCCCAGGCCCTCCAGTTTGGAGGAAACAGAGAATGGAAGAAATAGAACGGAAGAAAAACATGTTCAAAATACCACTATTTAAAGGACAAAAAAATAGATTGAAAAGATGTAACTGGAGATCTCTGAAGCACACCAGGAAATACTGGTCTCACCAAAACCACAGCAGAACAGGTTTAAGGGATGAGTAGTCTGCAGTGTTAATTACAATGGGGAGACTGAGTACAGTGAAGACTAAAAGGGGGATTAGCACCTGAAAGCCATTAGTAACTCTGATAAGAACATTTTAAGTGGGGTGGTTTGGTGGACTATAAACTAGGTTGCAGTGAGAATAAATGGGAGGTTGGAAGGTGGGGACAATTAATGTAGATCATTCTTTCCAGAAGCTTGCTAGTGCAGGCAAGGAGGGAGGCAGGACAGTAGCTAAAGGAGATGGACTGAAAGAGGAGTTTTTTTAGTAGATTTTGGGGGCTGAGGAGAAAGAAGAGGTAGAAAAGGAGAACTTGAAGTTAGAGGAGACAGAATTAGTCTTGAGAGGGGGGAAGAGGAGCTTTCACTGAAACTTCAAGTTAAGAGTCGCCACAAGATTGGAGTCACAGTGAAGGCAGGGATTGGAGAGGTTTACCTGTTCTCTCCGTATGGCTGAAAGAGAAGTAAGGGTGATGCTAGAAGAACTACCTTGCTCTCCATGGCTTATTTCTGGCTTCTCTACTAAAGATCAGAATATTATAGACTAGTTGCATGGGAAGCCTGGCTTGGGATATTTTTATGTTCCTTGGTTCTGATTCGATGGATCTTGGAGTGCGAGTTGTTTTGTTGATTGATTTATTTTGCATAACATTATGTAAGGCATAATTACATTCTTAGAAAGGCAGCAAATTGTAGTGGAAGGAACACTGCCCTGAGTCAGAAAACCTGAATCCCAAGTCCTGGCTCTATTCCTTACACTCTGGGTAACCTCAGACCAAAAAAGTTTACATTTAAGTGCTGAGGCATCTCTTCTATAAATCCAGAATTCTAATATCTACCCAGCCTACCTCAAGAATTAGTGATTGTGAGAACCAAATAAACTAATGAATGTATATAAAAACATTTTATAAGCCCCAAAGCCTGTATAGGCATGAGGTAAAAGAAAAATGCATTTACAGATGATTCCTACATAACAGGATTTCTAGAGACTTGATTTTGGAGGTAATTCCACTTTATCCCATCAGATATTGGATGAGGAGCTAAAGGATCTGTCCACCTTGGTGAGTCAGGAATTGGAGTGTGTGAATCAGATTATCATCAGCCAACCTCAAGAAGTCCCTGCTCAGCTGTTGAAGGCTCTAGAGAAAGATGCCAGGAATCTTCAAAAGTCCCTCAACTCTGTGAGTGACACCTGGAGTTCCAGAATGCTCTACCTCCAAGATACTGTAGAAATAAAAAAGGTAGTTTCTTGTTTTTATTCACAAAGGCTCACAAAGTCTGGGCAGGTTAGAGATTTTTATAATCTAATTTGCCACTTATTTTTTAAGACAAGAGTGTTAAATCAGCAAGAAGAGCTAGAAGACAAACTTCAAGATCTGAGAGCCTGGGTTGATAATACCAATCTTATTCTGAATAGCAAGGAATGTACCAATGGAACAGATGCCGACAGCCTGAATCAGTTTCTCCAACAGTATGAGGTAAATTCTGCACCCATTCTCAAGCATGTTTTATTTGTCCTTTGAGTTTCAATTTTATTTTCTTGCTACAGAAACCAGTATCTGTACTTATCTTTCCTAGAAAGCTTGATTTTCCATTTCAGAGATAGTAAAGTCTGCTATGGTTAGCTTTTCTGGTTGTCAGACCCCTGGAGTTTGTTTCAGAGATTATGATTATTTTTCCTTTCGGCTCTTCTCTGAGTCTACAGAATGGTCTATTATTATTATCAAGTGGCCTCTTTATTACGGAGTATCTAATACCTATCCCTTTCTATTTGGCTCAAGATCTAATCCTGTGTGCACACATCGATTTCAGGAGAATTTTTGACCAATGGTCTAGATCACAGCTTGGAAAACTTTTCCCACAAAAGACCAGAGAGTAAATATTTTATGTCTTATAGGTCATACACAAATGGCCCATTTCTGTGGCAACCATTCAGCTCTGCTATTGAAACATGAAAGCAGCCATAGATGGTACATAAAGGAATGGTTGTGCATATGTTACAATAAAATTTGATTTACAAAATCTGACAGGCAGATTTGGCCATGGACTATAGATTGCCAACCCCTGATCTAGAGAAATGCTTCTCTTCTTCTTAAGCCCCAAATTAATTAATACTTTTTAAATCAGTGAGAGAAAGATACAAACTCTGAGATGCGTAGAAGCCAGAGAGTTTTTGTCCTAAATATTGTTCCTTTTCTGGGGGGTTATTCTTGAGATACTTTTAGATATTACACAGGTTTGCCTGCCCTCTGCCACAGGTGCCGATCTCCTTAAACTCTTTTTAAAGTCAGAGCAGAACCAGAGATGTCTTCTCCTTTTGTTCCACCCTCCCCCTTTTCCCCAGCCTTAAGCAGAGATAAGGTTTTGTCCACAATTAGGCTTCATTCCTCTTTACAACTTCATTCCTCTTTATCTTGTAAGAGTTGACCTGCCTTCTTCTTTCATACCCTTTTATCCAAGATACCACTCAGGGAATGAGTAGCAGACTCTGTTCACTGACAGGGTATGATGAAGCAAGGGTGAACAAATTGGTTGTGACAGAATAGTGATGGGGATGTAGAGTAGAGTAGAGCATAGGAATTATAGTCAATAATATTCTAAGAACTATGTATGGTATCAGATGGCTAATAGATTTATCAAGACGATTACTTAGTAAGTTATATAATGTCTAAGCACTAGGGTGCACACCTGAAACTAATATAGTATGTCAGCTGTAATTGAAAAATTAAAAAATTAGTTAAATATAGAAGAAAGAAAGGTGAGAAATTCCTGTGATATGTGGTGTGAGATATAAAAACCCATAGCATCTCTACATTGGTTTCTCCCCCATTGTAAGTTACGTGAATTCTTTTATGGGAAGAGAGCTACAGTCTTAAGCCTTGTTTCCTAGTGATAGTTTCCCAAATTTGTATGTTCACGGATGAAGGAAGCATGGTCTAATGATAACCCACAAAACTGTCCCAGCCTGCTTTGCAGTATTGCTGACTGCTTTCAGTTTCACAATGATAGAGACGTAGATTTATTGATTGTTTTTATTGCATCCAGTATAACAGCTGATGGCCACTAAATTTTTGTGGAAAAATTACATGCTTTTAAGTTATCAGAAAAAGATCATTGTAGTGTTCAGGCACTTTTTCCTGGTTTATAGGAGCAATGTAACTATATAGAAGAAAGTCTGACTGTAATCCTTTACAGTTGTAAAATGTATAAGCACCATTGCTTACTGTAAAAATCAAATTTTAATAAATCACAAATAAATTGAATATAGTTGGACCCACTTCTTACCTACCAGTAACTCGCTGTTGGACAAATACAAATACATTTTGAACCTAAGAAAATACAATTATATCTCAGGCCAGATATATCTCAGGCCAGAAATTCATGTCACCCTTTCCAAATCTTAAAAAATTGTTTTTGCAGGTATCTGAGATTAGCTCTAGTGTAGTCCTGTTAACAGAAATAGATAAAAGTTTGCTGCATTTGGAAATCAATTTGCAGTAAAGGAAACCTAATTGTAATTTATGAGTGTGGAGAGACCAGGCATGAGAAAGACCTCCAGTGGTGCTTTGACTCTAGAAATTGTCAGTGTCAATTATAAAAATACAGGAAATTAACCTCTCATTGATTATGTTGATTCTTTGATTAGAAACAACAGCCCCTGCGTCAAAAGAGAATTAGAAGTTTCATTTCTTTCTTTTTCTCTCTCTTTCTTTTTTTTCCATTCCCTACTTACCTTAGGATTTGACACAGCCAGTGGCTGAAAGGAAACATCAGCTGGATGCTCTTGCTTTTGATATTCAGTTCTTTGTCTCTGAGCATGCTCAGGACTTGTCCTCTCAGCAGAGCCGACAGATGCTGAGGCTTCTGAATGAACTGCAGAGGTCCTTCCAGGATCTTGTGGAGCAGGCAGCCCTCATCAAGGTCAGACTGAACCAGCATCTGGGTTCAATTTGTCTTTTGAGATGTCCTGCATTTGGGTTTTCTGGCTAGAATATATCTACCATGATTCTAGGAGTCTTTGTTTACCGATTTTGAAATTTCATTCAAGCCAGCTTGGTTCTGGTCCAGGAGGCAGCTGTTCTGGCTGTTTTTCTTGCCATGTTTTTGTTTTATGTGTGTGTGAGAGAGAATATATGTTGTTTACATGTGTATGCATGTGCAAGTTTTTTTTTTAATTAAACTGTCCCCTGACTATGTCTCATTGTTTTCTGCCTTTCAAATGAAAATCACATCTCCAGCTCTTTTTTGTCCCTCAGCATTCTTTTTAAGGTTCTTAAGAACGATTAGATACTCTGAGCTCTTGAGAAGAATGGTTTTGAAATCAGTTTTATTCTGGGGCTTTTCAGATGATTAATACTGAAATTCCTTGACAACTTTCCAACAGCTGACAAGGAAATTTTTATCAGAATCACATTAATCTTTTAGCACCTCTTAAATTATTATTATTTTCTAGCACCTTTCTTCACACTGTAGTGCCCAGTTCTTATTCAATCATGGAAACCATGTGTTGAAGCAGCATTAATACATTTTGGGGTGGGGGGGACTAACCACCCTACCACCTTCCATTGCAAGCCTCTTGCCAAACTCAACATAGTTGCATGAATGGTAACATAACCTTAGAATACCAAGATTGATTCTTAGGTCATTTATGCTCTTTTTAATAATAAATTGGAATTCAGCAAGATAATATTAGAATTGTTATTATCACCAGCAAATCCATCTTAGGGTCTGCTTTATTAAATATTGTGCAAAGTAGAATTGAGCTTTTGAGTCAGGTTTGAAGGAAATTAGTCAATTCCATATGTCTTACATTACTGCTTAGTTGTTTCAAGTACATTGAAAATGAAATAAAATACTAATGAAGTACTTTAAGTTACTTTCCAACTATGAAAATTTGCAATGTCCTCTCTTAGGAATTTATATAGCACGTTGTAGCCTATAGTCAATTAATGAAATAGCATTCGTCTGTGCCGCCTTAAGACACAGATCCAGGGTAGGCCCCTGAACTGCAGCAGGTGATACAACTGCATGTGAACATTCTTTCTGAGCACATAATTAATTTCACAATGTTTATTAACAGTGTTATTGTCAAAAATGTTCTGCTTCTCTATATTTGCCCTGAATGCATGTATATGTCTGCGTGTTAACTTGTTTGCTTTGCTTTTTTCAGATTCAGTCTGCACCCATCCTAACCCATGAAGATCCCGTTTTACAGCTGAAGAGCTCTTAGGAGTTCTCTTCCAGAGCCCTTCTATTTGTCCTAAAGAGGGGGAAAGAGGGCCAGTTTGGGCACCTGTTTGTAAGTGCAGGTGACTAAAATGCCATCAGAAGATAGAACCTGATGGAAAATGGTTTCAGAAGGATGGTCAGGAGAACACATCATGCTCAATTGCTCAGTCAGGTGCTTCTGTGTCAGGCAGCTGAGATGAGATCTGGAGCAAGGATCAGGCACAGAAACATATTCTCTCCCTCCCCTTGGGCCTAACTTTTCTCTTTGATATTGATGTAGACACCTGAAGGTCTGAGCCAGTTGCTAATCTTGGACAGTTTCCTTCTTCTCAAAATAGATAAGCCCCCCGAGCCTGGCATATGTAATCATTCCATTTTAATGGGTGTCTGCATTTGTGAGACATTTGATTTATAAAAGTCAGCTAAATTATTAAAAAGCTCAATTAATTTATGAATTGTCAAATTTCTTGATTTTTTACTTCCTAGTCCAGTCCTTCTAATTTTCTATATTTTGACTAATATCTAACACATCTCTTTGGTCCTGGTAGAGGAATTGATCAGAATCAATAATTTATTGTTATCTATGGGTTTCAAGCATCTGAGCTCTCTGTTCCCCATTTCTAAGGATGATAACAGCAGTCTGGCAAAGGAGCTCCCAACCCAAAACCTGGGAGCATTCTCATTTGAAATTACCCCTGATTGTAATCCAGACCACGCACCCAGGTCAACAAATTGTCCAGATTAGGGGAGCCTTCTAAATATGATTTCTGTGCTTTTTCTTGTTCTAGTTTCCCACCAACTTTTCCATCCTTGAGCTATAACCTTGTTTTATATTTTAGGGAGTTAACTTGTTTTTGTAAAATGAGAGATGTTAATAGTCTTTTGGCCCTTTTGCATTTTAATTAGACCCTGCAGAAACAACAAAATACTTGTCACCAGAAACTGGAGGATCTCTGCAGCTGGGTAGGACAGGCAGAAAGAGCATTGGTGAGCCACCAAGGTGGAGCCACCCAGCAGGATCTTTCTGCTTTGCAGAAGAACCAAAGTGACTTGAAGGTCAGTATGAATTCATTCATTTTTTTTGCATTCCTTCAACAAATATTTATAAAGGCTTGCTATGTGCCAGGTGCAGTACTTAGTGTTAGCAACATAATGGTAAATATCCCTGCTCACATGATGCTTACAGTCTAGTGAAAGAGACAGATATTATAGATAATCCCAAAAATATATGCTTAATTATTAACTATTATATCTGTAAAGGATAAATTACATGAGAACATATAACAGAGAGACCCAATCTAGTCTAGGATGTCAGAAAAGATTACCTTGAAGAAGTATCACTTAAACTGAGAAATGAAGGGCATGTAGAGGTTAATGCATGAAGGAGCAGAAAGAGGAAGAGGATTAGGCAGAGGCCTATGTATCTGTATTAGGTGGGAATGGTATCCAGCTCCACATATTCCAGAATTGAAAGAAAGCTAGTTCAACTAGACTGAACAGAACAAAAGGAAGATTAGTGTCAATGAGCCTAGATACTAGGCAGTACCCATATCATGCTGTTTCTTATAGACTACAGTAAGGATAAGAAGAGTATAAAGTCCTTGACTCAGCTAGAATCCTGTTGTCAACTGTCCTTTATAGAACAATGATCTCTTTGAGGATAACTCATTACAAAATAAAAATCTCTGCTATTCAACATAGTTATGGGGTCTCCTTTTTTTTGTCTTTACCAAATGTTTACTCAGAAACTTCAGTTTAAATTTTGCTTAGAAAATTAAATATTAGACAATTTCTTAATTTAAAAATATTTTAAAATCTATTATTTGCATTGGTTTACACCTAAACCTTAAGTAAATTATAGTCAGGAATGTACATCTGTTGCAGATATGTCATCCCAGCCATTCCACCTTCATGCTATTAGAGGTCTTAGGCATGCTAAAGTTAAAGGCTCTGCCATCCCTATTTTCATGTGTTAAGGATTTACAGGACGACATTCAGAATCATGCGGCCTCATTTGCCAGTGTTGTCAAAGACGTTGAAGGGTTCCTGGAAGAGAACCAGACCAAGCTGAGCACCCATGAGTTGGCAGCTCTTCGGGAAAAACTTCATCAGGCTAAGGAGCAATATGAGACTCTCCAGGAACGGACACGGGTGGCCCAGAAGGAGCTGGAGGAAGTAGTGACCTCAGCCTTGCAGCAGGAGACTGAAAAGGTAACCAGACTGCTGTGATACTTGGTATTTTTCAAAAAAGAAAATTTTGTTACCTACCCAAATGAATGGTAATGAGGGGAAACTGCCTTATACAGAGCATAAAATCCTGAGAAAAGGCTATTTCAGGAGCAGGTTGGTGACCCAATATTTTAAATTTACAAGAAACATCCTAAAGAACTTTAAGTCAGGAACAGTTGGTAGGAAGTTCATATTATGAAAGGAAGGAGGGAGGGAGGGAAGGAAGGAAGGAAGGAAGGGAGGAAGGGAGGGAAAGATAGATCAGGCTGTCTGTGTACTTAGTACTCTGACTAACTGAAAATGTCAGAATGCAAATGGCATGTTTCTTACATGAATCTAGGCTGATGATCCAAGAGGGCTGGGGGAAATATCTGGGGAGTCTTATTGGGCTACAAACCCATCCCCAAGCTGTCACTATAGTTTCAGTGGGAATCATGACACTGGAATAAACCTAGGAGAATGTCTTCTGCACCCCATTCTGCACTGGCAGATTCAATTAGAATCCTTTGTCTGGCTGTGGACTCTAATGCTAACAGGGAGATAGAGAAAAGAGAAATAAGTTACCTGAAGATGAATGATGAGCTACATGTATGTATCACTTGGCATATCCTTTTTAGTTGATAAAATACTTGTCAAAGGACTTCTGGCCAAGATGAAGGTGTAGGTAGATATACTTTGCCTCCTCGTACAACTAAAAGGACAACAACAAATTTAAAAACAAAAATAACCAGAACTGCCAGAAAGTCAAACTGTATGGAAGTCCAACAACCAAGGAGCTACAGAAGAAACATTCATCCAGACTGGTAGGAGGGGCAGAGACAGGCAGTCGGGGTGGAGAGGACGTGCAGCAAGGCAGTGGCTGGAGGACCTGGCAGTCCCACATTTGCATGAGGATAAACCAGGAGGAACAGCTGGGAAGGGAGACAGACTGTGCAATCCAGGGTTCCAGCGTGGCGGGGGGAGCCTCAAAACATCTGGCTGAAAAAAAGCTGTGGGGGTTTCAGTGGCAGGAGAAACTCCCAGCCTCACAGGAGAGTTCTTTGGAGACAATTTCAGGGTCCTAGAACGTACACAAACCCACCCACCGGGGAATCAGCACTAGAAGGGCCCACTTGTGGGTAGCAGGGGAAGTGACTGAAAGCTGGCAGAGAGCCAAGCAAGTGGCACTGTTCCCTCTCTTACTCCCCCACATAGTGTCACACCTCATTGACCTGGGTTGCTGCACCCTGGCAAATACCTAAGGCTCTGCCCCTTCCAATGTAAGAGACGCTCTGAGACAAAGAAATATGGCCCAAATGAAAGAACAGATCAAAGCTCCAAAAATAGAACTAAGCAACGAACAGATACCCAGCCTATCAAATACACAGTTCAAAACATGGTAATCAGGATGCTCACAGAAATGGCTGAGTATGGTCGCAAAATGGAGAAAAAAGTGAAGGCTTTGCAAAGTGAAATAAAGAAAAATATACACAGAACCAACAGTTAAGAGGAGGAAACTGGGACTCAACAATTTGGAGCAGAAGGAAGAGATAAACATTCAATCAGAACATAATGAAGAAACAAGAATTCAAAAAAATGAGGAGAGGCGGAGGAACACCCAGGACAACTTTAAACATTCCAAATCCGAATCATAGGGGTGCCAGAAGGAGAAGAGGAAGAGCAAGAAATTGAAAACTTATTTGAAAAAATAATAAAGGAAAACTCCCCCAACCTGGTGAAGGAAATAGACTTCCAGGAGATCCAGGAAGCTCAGCGTCCCAACGAAGTTGGACCCAAGGAAGCACCCAACAAGACGCATCATAATTACATTACCAAGATTAAAGATAAGGAGAGAATCTTAAAAGTAGCAAGAGAAAAGGAGGCAGTTACTTGCAAAGGAGTTCCCATAAGACTATCAGCTGATTGCTCAAAAGAAATCTTGCAGGCAAGAAGGGGCTGGCAAGAAGCATTCAAAGTCATGAAACACAAGGACCTACATCCAAGATGACTCTATGAAGCAAAGCTATCATTTAGAATGGAAGAGCACAGATAAAGTGCTTCCCAGATAAGGTCAAGTTAAAGGAGTTCATCATCACCAAGCCCTTACTATATGAAATGTTAAAGGGACTTAATGTAAAAAAAAGAACAAAAACTATGAACAGTGAAATGACAACAAACTCACAACTATCAACAACTGAACCTAAAAAAAACAAAAAGAAAAACAAACTAAGCCAACAACTAGAACAGGAACAGAATGACAAAAATGGAGATCACTTTGAGGGTTATCAGAGGGGAGGGGAAGAGGGAGAATGGGGGAAAAAGTACAGGGAATAAGAAGCATAAATAGTAGGTACAAAATAGACAGGGGAAGATTAAGAATAATATAGGAAGTAGAGAAGCCAAAGAATTTTTATGTATGACCCATGGACATGAACTAAGGGACTGGGGGAAATGTTGGTGGGAGGCAGGGTGGAGGGGGATAAAAGGGAGGAAGAAAATGGGACAACTATAATAGCATAATCAATAAAATATATATATTAAAAAAAATTTGACAAGTCAGAAAATAGTTTCAGAACTCAATGCTGTGTTTGGCAGAGAAAAGGATAGGAGAAGTCTGTATTTCCCTTAGGAAGGAATAGCCAGGTCATTGAGTGTGACTGTGTTATCTCTTACTGTAGCAAGCCAGTGTGTCACTTCTGTTTGCCCAGAAATGATGCTGTGGGGCCATGCTGGGGTGCCAGGACTAAATCACCTCATAATAAAATAAAGCCCTTTAAATCCTAGGATTTGCTCCCCCTCCCCTCTTTCAAGTGGTAAGATATAAGCAAAATCTTGAGGTTATTTTAAGTAATTATTTTTTCAACATATTTATATGCTCATTCTTTTTTGTAGATTCAAAGACTGATTATACCCAGTCTTAGAGCTTCTCTTTTTCTTTAGCGTAAAAATTTCTTTCTTGGTGTAACCCGTAACTGCTGATCATCTAAGGTCTTCTCACTGAACTACTTCTGGCTTCTGGCTTTCAGAGCAAAGCAGCAAAGGAACTGGCGGAGAACAGGAGTAAGATTGATGCTCTCTTGGATTGGGTGGCTTCAGTGAGATCACCTGGTGGACAGATGGAGCAGCTATCAGGAGCTAGCCTGGAGAAAGGAGCCTCAGATACCACTGATGGTCATATGGGAGTGAACCAAGCCTCAGAGAAATTGGACAAGCAATGTGAGAAGATGAAGGTGAGTGTGTTAGCTTGTCCTCACCATGCTGTGAACTCGCTTCTGCCCTGGGCAAATCCCCCTTACTTCTAAATCCAGTGAGCACTTCTCAGTTCCTCTTCTTTGATGTCTCAGCAGCTTTGACACTGTTGGGCACTACCATTAAAATACTCTGTCCCTTACTCTGTAAAGCACTACTCTGCCCCTGATAATCTGTATTCCTTTCCCCTAGACACCTTCTCAAATAGTGATGTGCTTTTAGGTAGTATCATAGGCTTCCTCTCTCATCTTTCAGAATATACTTTCCTTGGGTAGCCTCATCCATTCATGACACTTCAGTTATCATTTGTACCAAATAATTACATGTATATATTTTCCTCCAGCCCAAATACCTAACCTGAACTTCAAGCCATTATATAAACCTATATCTTTCTTTTGGCAACCTGGAGTCAAGCACCTCAAACTGAAAAATGGAATCCCTGTTTACTGTAATACTCCTTCCCCCACTTAATTAAATACATCCTCCTTCCTATAGTCCCACTTAATTGTGTGAATTAGATATCATCCTAGATTCCTTTCCCTGCCTCACTGTTTCATGTAGAATCAGTCATCAAATCCCATTCACAATCAGTCATACTTCTTCATCTCCTTTGAAATGTGATTGTTGTTCAGACTGCTATTAGGTCTCACTAGTGTCACTATAGTAACCTCTACTGGTCTCCTTGCCATTTGGCTTTTATCTTCTCAACCACCCCCAACACTAAGTGATCTTTCTAGAATGCTATATATCCTTTTATTCGTTCCCTATTGCACTCATAAAACCATTTCTTTCTTACTATTTATCTCTACTCATTTATTCATTCCTTTAGCAAATATTGAGCACCTGCTTGGAGATAAACCAGTGGACCAACAAAATAAACTGTCTCCTGGGACATTAACTGGGATGCACAGGCACATTATATTGCATGATTAGAAAATGATTATATATTCAGTGCACTTAAAAAATATAAGGGTCATATATTTTAGTAGCTTTCTAGCAAAGAAAATTTGGTTTAGTTGGAGTGCTTTTGTTGAACGGCTTGTGTGGGCCATTGCTTATTGTGTATTAATAGGATTTCTGCCTCTGGCATGCCCATTCTGTGCTTGGAAGATTTATTGTAGTGTGTCCCCCAAAGTCCTGGCACTCTGGTAACAGCAGAGAGCAGAGATGGTTCTGCTGTCATAGGAACCTTCCTGACACCTCTTGTTGGCAGCAGTCAACCTGACCAAGTAGTATCTCCTAGGAAGGAAACTGCCTTACTTATGGGTGGTTGGGTTGGAGAATGAGAAGGGGACATCTGGGTGGGATACAGGTCGTGGTAGTAGACATTCCCTACTGTCTATTTGAGCAGTGTGTATTTATCTCTCAAGCTTCTCTGAGAGAACATTTGAATTTGAGGCTATCAGATTACTATTGATACTGGTTGAAACTGGACAATATTCTGAAGAAAGTAGGCTATAACCCTTCTCTAGGTAGTTGCATTGAAATCCCACTTACTTTTGTTAGACTCAGGAAGAACATTGTTAAAACAACCACTACTGCCCTCTTTCTCTTATATTCCATTGGAATAGAAAAAAGGTCCACATGTAAATACATGGAGACAGCACATACAAATTACCTATGCTGTCCAGAAACACAGTTTACTCTCACTAATATATACGTTGTTTACTTAATGAATTAATTTTCTTAGCTATTTCCTGATACAGACAGTCATCACAGATAATTGACTGACATTTTTGACAGCTAAGAATTTGCAGTTTTTATATTGTCCCATGTGTGGCTCACCCATCTTAGTGGGTAATTATTAGTTGGCCATTTGTACCTTCTCTTAGACTTAGAGTGGTTTAGTGAAGAGAGTCATGTCAACAGTTTATCCCTTAACTATCTGCATGACCTTAGTCAATAATACATCTTTTTGGTAATCACTTAACCACATCTTTAATATGGATATTATATTGTCTTCCTATGTTACAGGTTATGCCACAAATCAGATAATACATGTAAAATATCTTTGAAACCTTTAAGACTCTATGTGTCAGTTCAGCTGGAATTAGCATATGGCATAATTCTTAGAGAGTATCAGTGATTTCTGAGCAGCTATAAAAGTGGCCTACAGAAAAGTCTCTCTCTGCCTCTAGCTGTAGACATAACCAAATTATTGTAGTGCCCCTACTAACTTGTTTGGGGGGATTTTTTTTGCCAGGCCCGCCACCAAGAATTGCTATCTCAGCAGCAAAATTTCATCCTAGCCACCCAGTCAGCTCAGGCCTTCCTGGACCAACATGGCCACAATCTCACACCTGAGGAAAAACAGATGCTGCAGGAGAAACTAGGAGACCTAAAGGAACAGTACGCGACTTCCCTGGCCCAGTCAGAGGCAGAGCTGAAGAAGGTGCAGACACTACGTGATGAGCTGCAGAAGTTTCTCCAGGATCATAGAGAGTTTGAAAACTGGCTGGAACGGTCTGAGAGAGAGCTGGAGCACATGCATAAGGGAGGCAGCAACCCCGAAGCCCTTCCCTCCCTGCTTAAGCGACAGGGGAGCTTCTCAGAGGATGTAATTTCCCACAAAGGAGACTTGAGATTTGTGACTATATCAGGACAGAAAGTGTTAGACACTGAAAATAGCTTTGAGGAAGGCAGAGAACTATTAGCAACTGGAACCTTAGTGAAGGACAAGCTGAAGGATGCAACAGAGAGATACACTGCTCTCCATTCAAAGGTATGTATGGAAGAGGCTTCTGGCAACCTTTGGTGAAATGATCTTGCAGCCCTTACACAGTTGAAGGTGGTTTCTGAGGCTTAGGAACCTCAGGACACAGTGAATGAGCTAATTTGGGGGGGAGGGACGGGGGAGAGAAAGAATATACCATAGGCAGAATGTCTTTATGGCCTACGCAAAAATGTAAAACGTGGAAGCCCATGGGTCAATGCCTGACCCTTGCAATATCAGGGGTATATCTCACTCCAGTGGTGAATGTGGAAGAGCTTGCCTTTTGTATCCTGACCAGCAGACATGGGCTCCTGAGAGACATAGCACAGGGGAAACTTAAGTACACAGTCTGTATTCTTGGGCAGAGCATCTAGGGTAAATCCTTATCTTTCTTCCTATCAAAGCACTCCATTTAGCTCCTAAGGTACAGAATCTAGTCAGTTCTTCTCACTTGTCTTGTGGTTTGTATCAGTACTTCTTTGTACCTCTCAATCCCATTTCTGCCTGCAACCTCTTGTATGTTTCTTTGATGGTTTGTCATACAATTCACTAAATCTTTCCTAATATGTAATAAAGTTGAAGTGAATAGTACGGATCAAACAACGAGGAACCTACTCATAAAATGTAGTTGCTACCCATCTATCAGTGGAGGCCCTGGTACTACCCCTAACTGTAGTTACAGTGAGTTCCCTATAACAAAGCCAGGCCTCTCTTTGTACTATGCTGCCTTTGTCCTGGCCTTGCTGAAGTTTGCTTTCATCCCTTTCTTTGGCACAGTGTACACGATTGGGCTCTCACCTGAACATGCTCCTAGGCCATTATCAACAGTTCCAGAGCAGCGCTGACAGCCTTCAGGCCTGGATGCAGGCTTGCGAGGCCAATGTAGAGAAGCTCCTCTCAGATACTGTTGCCTCTGACCCGGGGGTCCTGCAACAGCAGCTTGCAAGAACAAAGGTAAGCCAGGACACAGGCTGTTGTACTGCATGGCTCATAGCACCAAAAAATAAAGCAAATACTGACATTTAGGTTAAAGACAGTGGTTGGGATGCCTTGCACAAGATCTAATTCCTAAACAACTTATTTTCATATCTGTGGCTGTGGATAAACTGAGAATTATTCTGTAAAGCAGCTTAGTAGTTTTAGATTCCTAGAGCCAACTTTGATTACTCACTCAGATGTTTTTCTTTTGTCCTTTTTCATGGACGAGCAGCAGTTGCAGGAGGAATTGGCTGAGCACCAAGTACCTGTAGAAAAGCTCCAAAAAGTAGCTCTTGACCTCATGGAAGTTGAAGGGGAGCCAGCCCCAGACCGCAAGCAAATTCAAGAAACTACAGGTATGAGGCAGCAACAGGAATAGTGCTGTCTTAATTCCTAGTATGTACCCCTGTTCTGCAATAGATCCCATTGTGTTGTACAAGCATGGTACTAGTTGAGGATATAAACATGAATCGGTCACCCTCTAATGAACTTTATTCTTGTATCATTGAAGGACCTTTGCAATCTGGCTTGAACTGCTTTTCCCCAGGCATTCTGCCTTCTAGCCACACCCTTCTTTCCTTTCCCAAGTAAACTAGTCATTCTTCATTGCTTTACCCCTGAAGTTTTCCTGTTGCTTACTGATAGCATTAATTGAGTGTTTACCATACATGGTGAAATTTTGCTCATGCATCAGGATGTAGCCAAGAGGTTACTTCCTTTATAAAGTCCTGACCACCACCATCACCCCCTAAAAGAAATGAAAGATAAGAAACAATCGTTCTTCTTTCAGGCTTCTCTAGCACTCTTTAGTACCAAAATAGCTCTTAGGATTTTATTTTCCCTGTTAGATGTGATGTGCCTTCCTCTACCTATGCTCTCTTTTAGAGTCTTAGGTTTGTAGAAGGCAGGGACTTTATCATGATTATCTTTAGTCCTTAGTATCTAGAATAATTTCTGGCACTTAGTCGGTGCTAAATAAGTAATACTTATGGAATTTGGCTCAAATACTAATGCCTTTAAGCTTATTCCTTCTATTTGTCTTGATGTTTGTCATTACTATAATAAATGTGCAATTTAAATACATTTTTTTAAAGGAAAACACAAAAATAGTCTCCATTCTCTCTCTTCATGGCCTTGATTTTCCAGATTCCATACTTAGTCATTTCCAAAGCCTCTCCTGTAGCCTGGCTGAGCGCTCTGCTCTGCTGCAGAAGGCAATTGCCCAGTCTCAGAGTGTGCAGGAAAGCCTGGACAGCTTGTTGCAGTCCATCAAGGAAGTTGAAAAAAACCTGGAAGAGGAACAAGTGGCATCCCTGTCATCCAGAGTCATCCAAGAAGCCCTGGCCACTAACATGGTGAGATCTCTGCCCCAAGAGTTTGCATAGAGGGTTCATTTGCCATGTTCCATAATTGCATCACTTAGAAAAAGTATCAAGAGAATTCATTTTCATTACTCTTCAGATGATGAGGCTTAGACATGGTGACTGATCCATGTGAAGATATTGCTACTCAATTTCTAAACCATAAACTTGAAGAACAGTGGCAATAGCAAAGTCATTTGGTGGAATGGCTTAGGGAACTAGAGGGATGAGACATAAGGTTTTCTGAAGGTTCAGTTGCAATCCTGAACCTTCTTGAGGGGTGAGCATGTAGTTATGGGAAGTTTATTAGTTTGTATATCAGATACCCTAGAATAAGTGAGCCAGGAGCTGACAGACATGTTCTTGATGACAGAAATTGAAGCAGGACATTGCTCGGCAAAAGAGCAGCTTGGAGGCCACCCGTGAAATGGTGACCCGATTCATGGAGACAGCAGACAGCACCACAGCAGCAGTGCTGCAGGGCAAACTGGCGGAGGTGAGCCAGCGCTTCCAAAAGCTCTGTCTACAGCAGCAAGAGAAGGAGAGCTCCTTAAAGAAGCTCCTGCCCCAGACAGAGATGTTTGAACATCTCTCTGATAAGCTGCAGCAGTTCATGGAAAACAAAAATCGGATGCTGGCCTCTGGAAATCAGCCAGATCAAGATATTGCACATTTCTTCCAGCAGATCCAGGTGAGGACCTACCAAATTGACAGAATAAGGGAAAAGAAGGGCAAGGAGGGGACCAACATTTACTGAGTACAGAAGATGTTAGTCTAGTGGCATTATTATCACAACCATCCTGCAAACTAGATACTGTTTGTCCCTTTTTTAAAAACATAGCCTCGATTTATTTTTCACTCACACTACATGTTCAGCTCAGACCAGCAGGATACCTAGATCATCATGGTCACTCAGGGATTCAAGTTGTTGGAAACTTCATCCTGACATAAGTTTTCATGATTACTGCATCATTGAAAAGAGAGAATATTATATACATTTACATTTTGTTATTCAACACAAGTTATACTTGACCACACCTGACTGTGGTGATACCTAATTCTGTTACGTAACTAGAAGACACAGAGCTAGAAATATTTGGTGAAGAGTATTACCTACCAAAGACATATACATATATCCAGGAGTGGAATTGCTGGGTCATAGTATATGCATATACTTGATTTGACCAAGGAGTAGACACACCATTCTGTTTCACTAATCTGTCTATTCATATACCATAGCAGACTGTTATGCTGCTTAGATGCCTTTTATCTTTTAGTGTGTATTTATTTATAAGGATCAGAGGATTTAATACATTGCCTGTTTGCTCGGCAGGAGCTCAGTTTGGAAATGGAAGACCAACAGGAAAACCTTGATACTCTTGAGCATTTGGTCACTGAACTGAGCTCCTGTGGCTTTGCACTAGACCTGTCTCAGCACCAGGACAGGATACAGAACCTCAAAAAGGACTTCACAGAGCTACAGAAGACAGTTAAGGAGAGGTGAGTTCTCATATGTGTTGGTCACTGTTAAGGAGCTAATTTTTTCATGCCATTGAGTAAAATGATTCTCTCACTATTCATCATTAGAATCTAAAGGTGGCATCAAGATGTCCTGGTGGGTGTGGCTCAGCTGGTTAGAGTGTGATACCGTAACAGAAAGGCTGCGGGTTTGTTCAACCCCTGGTCCAGGCATGTGCTTCTCTCTCACATCATATTTCTCTCTCCTTTTCTTTCTCCCTTCCTTTCTCTCTAAAAGCAATGAAAAAAATTGTCCTCAGTTGAGGATAAATAAATAAAAATAAAGGTGACATCAAGAATTCTGTCTGCTATGGAGTCACAGGAGATCTGGAAAATGCTTCCTTCAACCAAAGTACCCAACCTACTTGATGCTGAGTGGTCTTTCTATTACTAAATAATGAATTTTTTCTCAGTAATGAGGCTCAGTTCTCTGTCTGTACTATCAAAAGCCCAGGTCACCTGGACCAAACAAAACAAATTTGGGTCAACAAGTAAGATTGTGATAGGATTTGAAATAAAGAAAAAAATTGGAGACTTCCCAGACATAATTAAGGATTCTCTTGGCACTCACCCTGCTTGTTTTGACCACATTTAAGTTACTGTTTTGGAGAAGTGTCTGGGTTTTTTATTTATTTGTTTGTTTGTTTGTTTTTTAAGGAAACATGGATTATATGACAAAGGTGGCTGATTTCAGGTCATCAGTTCATTGTTGAAAAGCCATGATTCGTCCATTAGAAAGCCTGAAGTGAACTTAAGAGCTTGTTAAGGTTTCTTCTCTTGGGTTAGCTGTAAATATAATCTTGATTTAGCAGATGACAGCCTTAGTGACTAGAGGAAAGTAGTTGTTCAGACCAATGCAGGTAATTTACAGGAGTAGAGAGGAGGGAGACAAAGACCAAGAAGGCTTTGTTTTTCTTCCCCTACGATGAGGCCTTTTAGCTCAGGCTTGGTCCGAATAGATGTGGCTGGCCATTTCCAAAAGTGAACTGCAAAGAGATTTTACCCTTCTACTTGATTTATTTTGTTCATGAGTGTACTTACCCTAACTCCTAGGAGCTTCTGTTTTAGCACCTTACTCAAGAAAGAGTCAAATCCCTAAAAAGTAGCAGAGCTGGACTTAAGATCCAAAGACTACATTCTTTCCATTGTATCATAGTACCTAAATAGCAGTCTCCCTTTAGTTTTTCTCACTTTCACTTTAGCGCAGAGTAAGATTGAAGGCTCCTTTCCCCAGAAATGTCCAAACAAGGGCAAGAGAATCCTTAGTTTGATGCTCTCCTATATTATATGTGGTTGTTTAGCCAAGGCTGTTGTGGAAAAGATGATGGGAAGGAAAGACCCTGTTAGGAAACTGTCTAGAGTCCCAGAATGAACTTAGTTTTAGTTCAAGTTGACTTCTTTACACTGCTTAGTCTGGCAAGTAACAAAACCTCTTTGCTGACAGAGAGGAAGATGCATCGTCTTGCCAGGAACAATTGGATGAATTCCGGAAGCTGGTTAGGACCTTCCAGAAATGGCTGAAGGAAACTGAAGGGAGTATTCCACCTACAGAGACTTTCATGAGTACTAAAGAGCTGGAAAAGCAGATTGAACACCTTAAGGTAGGTGAACAAAAAGATCTCCAAGAATCGGGCAAGACAGTAGCTTAGAAGTATGTGTGGAGTCATTTCCAACTGTAGTGGGAAAGTGGTGTGAGGAATCCAAGTTATCCATCTACATCAAAATAGGAATTCCCACCTACCCCTACCCCCTACCTAAGCACTGAGCACCAAAAATCTATTTGAAAAGCAAAAAAATAATTTTAGAATAATAGCTATGAAGTTTTAACTGTTTCTTGGATGCCTCTCATTCTATGGTGGGTCATAAAAAAGATATTTGTAAAAGTCCAGTCCTTGAGAAGCTTAAATTCTCATTGTATGTTTGGAAATTAGATAGTTATCTATGAGCAAGTGACAAAATACATGATCCAGAAATGGAGGATATAAGAACTAGTGCTATAACTAATAGAGGAAAAGATATAATCAGATGATTAGAAGGTAGCTTCAAGGGTAGGCTGCCTTTTTCCCATCCCTGCAGAACCCCTCTGTACCATTTTTGGTTTGTAGTCAGTCATCAGGCCTCTGCTTGTACCTCTAACACATCTCTTCTTTTTGTTGAAACCAGCCTCCCACTAACTCTCACTCATTTGTGCTCATTGTCTTAGCAAAGAGGATTTATCTTGAACAGGTAAAAGAAAGGAATTTGATTGGTTTCACAGAGAGAGTTACAGGAGCATTTGCTGTAGGGAATTCCCTGGGGCAGAGGTTCCCCAGTTTCTTAGTTCACAATACCCTTAGTGTTTCAAGAACTTTTTCATGGCAACACAAGGCCAAAAACATTAAAAAAAAAAAAAAAAACCTCACTTTCTAAGTGATCAGATCCAAACAATTTAATAGGATTTATTCACATAGTGTCCAACAGATGTCACTGTATTTCCCTCAAAAATTTAAAATATCCTACCAGTAGTACATAGTTTGGAAACTGTGACCCTTTGGAGTCAAGAACAATTAATACAAGAATTGACAAGCTGTGACTTGGTAAGGTTCCATCTGAAGCTAGACAGCATGAGCTTGCTAGATGTGTATGGCTCTGTGTCTTCCTCTGCTGTTGCTCTGCAGCTTCAAATCAAAAACAAAGTAAGTAGATTGGCAGGAAAATTTATTGTGAAGAAAGGGATTAAAGGCTGGGGTGTTGCCCAAGTTTTGAAGGGAGTGAAATCTTACTGCTGTGGCAGGCAACCACATCTTAGAGACACTGTGACTTGGTACTTTGGTCGTAAAACATGCCATTGTTTCCTGATGGCTTCCTATTGAAGTGAGAACTCTGACTTTAAACCTGTTACAAAGTTCCTTTGAAAATACAAAATGTAGCCTATGACTGCATGTACTTCTCTATATCTCAATATCTAACTCCTCATTTTATTCTCCAATGACCATTTCCTTTTTATTCTTTATGTGCATGCTGTTCCTTTTATCCACCTAACTCTTAACTCAAAGCTTTCCTCCCTCTAGTCAGCGTTAAAAGTGTCTTCTCTTGTTCTCTCATAAGAGTTTACTGACTGTCCATATTTCTTTAATAGCTTTTATCACATTATAATGCAGTTGATAATCTGAGCTCTTGGTTTTAAGAACTGTGTCATTATCTTACTGTGTAACCACAGTGTTTAGCATGATGCCTGGCCTATAGTAAATGCTCAGTAAATATTTGATTGGTGAATGAATGAATGAATGAATGAATGAGTGAATGAATGAATGGAGAAGGTCTTGAATATTCCGTGATGTTCTTCCACACCTTTGCTGGCTCAGCCAAGATCCTGAAATGGCTGATTACATGAGGATGGTCCCTTAATTCTTAAAAACTTTAGGGCAAATATGTAGAATAGGTAGTCCTATTTATGGGGAGAAATCTCCTAGATGTTACGTTTACCTGTTTTGTTCTTTGAACAGGGTCTCCTAGATGACTGGGCAAGTAAAGGAACTTTGGTAGAAGAAATCAATTGCAAAGGCACTTCTTTAGAAAATCTCATCATGGAGATCACAGCACCTGATTCCCAGGCCAAAACAGGTGAGTTCAGGCTCTTAAAAATGTAGTCAATAAACCTCATTTTTAGCTTTGGTCTTTGTTAATGATCCCTTTAATAAAAGTCAGAAACAAGGTTGGATATGAGAACAAGGTGGGGTGTGTGTAAAGTTGTCTTCCCCCATCAATCTGATCTATTTTCCATTTATGGTATAACATTGCTCCATTTTGCAAAATTCCTTTCCATGATGGGGAAAAGTAAAGGAACTAGTTAGCCCACTTAGAGCTGTCAAATAGACATAGAAGGATTAAAATGGTATTTCCTAACTTGAAGATTTTCTGTTTTATACATGGGAGTAGGATGGCTGTACACATCTTCACATTGGGGTCAGCCCTGGACAGTATAAGCTTGGTATCTGGGGAGAGGCTAGATACTTAAGAGTCAGTATTGGTACACCAGGGACTGACCCATTTCTTGGAAGTGGATACAAAGGTTGTGTCCAGACACATGTATAATCTCTGGCTGCCAATTAAGTCTTTTAAACAAATCCATTATGAACTCAGTGACTTGATGGTTGTAAATTGGTAACTCATAGGTTTTGTTACCCGGCTATGTTAATGTATCCCTATAGTCACTTAAATAGTATGGGAAAAGTTTACTTTTATTTCTACTGAGAATGGCTACTTTTCTGTTGCATCCTAAAGTTTAAAGATCTCTTTGGCACTTAACGAGAGGTTCAAATTGAATTGAGTTCAATATTGAATTATTAAAAATACTGACAACCTTTCAGGGAATTGGTGATCTTTTAATATTCTAACACGTAAACCTCTAAGTTTAATGACCCTTGTCAGTGTGTGACTATATGAGGAATTGGCAAACATTTTCTATAAAGAGCCAGATAGTAAATATTTTAGCCTTGTGGTCTATATGGTCTCTGTCATATCTATATGCATCTGCCATTATAGGACAAAAGCAAGCATAGATAATACATAAATGTATGGGTATGCCTGTATCATAAAACTTTATGTACAGAAACAAGCAGAGGGTCAAATTTGGCTGGTAGGCTTTAGTTTTCTAACTCCTGGACTAGATCAATGGTTTTTCAAGCACTTTTTAAAGCACTAAAATTTTTTTTAGTTTAAATCTCATATAGGACTCTACTACATAAACAAAAATGATATTTTGTTGACATAACTTTCCCTTATAAGTTACTTTATAATACTCATTTGTTATAAAATCCATTAATGAAAAATATCGAGACTATCTTTGTAAATATTAAAATTTGAGAAAGGATTATTAGACAACAACTTTATCATCTGATTTATTTCTAAATTTTGTTTGATTGTATTGTATCCAGAAAATATGGTTCACATAGGTAAGCAGTTGTAAATGATGACAAATGTTTTTAAACATTCACTCTATAATCACAGAATACCCTTCAATTAAACTGAACTAGAAGCTTGAAAGGGATGTAGTAAGAAATTCCTTTCCAAAGTTAAATCACCAAGAATATTCAGTGAGGGCTCTATTTTTTTTTCTAAAAAATAGAAAACACCTAAAACTGGTGATGAGGAAAAAACAGTCTATAACCTTAACAGCATTATGACCTGAAATGTTAAAAATTCTATTACTACACAATGTGTGTCTACTCTGAGAAGATGTTCCTCAATCTTTTTGACATTTTATTTAATGTAGATGTTTTTCTTTGGACATGAGTGGCATGTGTAGATTTGAACATTGTAAAGTGCTAACAAAGAGCTATAGCCCTTCAATCAGTAACACTCAAAAAAAACCTTAAATGTGTACATAGAGGTGCAGGACCTTCTTTATTCTCCCAGCAAAAAGCAGCCTTCAGTTGGCCCTTTGTATTCACAGTTTCCTTTTCTGCAATTTCACTAACAACTGCAGATTGAAAATACTTTTTAAAAATACTACATTGTTGCTGACATGTGCTCGGTAGTTAGGCCAAGGATGGTTGCATCTATCCTGAATATGTACAGACCTTTGTCATTGTTTTCTAAACAATACAGTATAGCAACTATTTACATAGCATTTACATTATTATATTAGGTATTATAAGTAACCTAGAGATGATTTCAAGTATACAGGAAGATACAGATTATATGCAAATACTTTGCCAATTTTATGTAAGGAACTTGAGCACCTTTGGGTTGTGGTGTCTGTGGGGGCGTCCTAGAACCAATCCCCTGTAGGTACTGAGGGGTATCTGTAAATTGGTTGTATCTAGTAAGTTGAGATATGGTTGAACATAATTGAACATGCATGTTTTATTGCTATTTCTAAGTAGTTAGAAATATATTCCAAATATTAAATTGAAACCAAACATTTACAGAGTCCATAAAGAGCACCTCCTTAGGCGCTTTGAAAATCAGCTTGAAAATCGTTTGCCTGAGTATTCTCGGAGTTCTCTTCCAACTCTGAAAAATCATGAATATTCTAGTTCCTTACACTTGTGTAGCTCTTCTTGTTTCATAAAGTGCTTTTACATACATTACCTCACCACCTCTCCCCAGTAACGCCATGAGAGTTGACAGGAGAAGTAGTATTAGCTTCATATCCTAGGGAAGATCTGAGGTCTGCTCATAGATTAAAGCTCACATGCCAACTTAGTGACAGTCTTGACTAGAACCTTCTCCTCCTAATTATGAGTCCAGTTTCTTTTTGGCTATCAACACACTGCAATGAAATACGATCTTTGTGTTTGATCCACTTTTAATTGAAAATACACTGGAAGTTGTATAATCACTTTTTAATATAACCTTGCACATAACATTTTCCTCAGTGAAATCAGTGCACAAGAGAGGTTTATTCTGTCCTCGTAGTATAACATTATATCATGAATAGTCTTCACATTTCTGAATAATCTTTATAATTTCATGTTCTGGTTTTTACTTAACTTGGGAAACTCCTCTGAAATATAAAGAATAAACTTGGGGAGAATATACATAGGTGAAGTTGTGGTAATTAGAAACAGAACCAAAGGCCCCCAAGCAGAATTCATGGGAATGCTAATGATCCAAACTTAGTGGCACCCAAAATTTCTGTTTTCTGGTGGAGGAAGGGGAGCAGAAAGCCATGAAAGAAAAAGTAGGGAAATCTTCCTTTTGAACCATTATAAGAAGGGCTCATTTTAGTGCCTTTATTAGAAGGATGCTGCTTTTTATTTCCTTGATTATATTTTAACTGTTCATTTTTATTATGTTGAAGGACATTGATATTAAAGTTGAACCCTTTTGGCTTTATTATAAATCCTCATTTCAAAGTATGTCAAATACCATTCGAAAAAATTTAATCATTTTACTAATATTTGCTTCACAAAATTAGGGCAGGGTCCAAAGAATTCAAGTTGGAGATTGAAGAAGGGAATTTGGATTTCCTCTAGAAAGGATTAGGAATCATTACTGCTAAAGAGCTGAAACACCTTGAGTGACACTTTGTTGCCTGGCAGCTAAAATGATTTGTCTCCTTCCATGAGTATGTTGTCTTGTGCTGTGTTAACTTCCTGATAACCCAAGCTTAAAGTGAGTGCCAAAATACAAATTCAGTGCCTCTATGTATTCCTAACACGTTTGTCTTGCCCTGTTTGTCTCTCTGTCCTTCTGCTCAGGTTCCATACTGCCCTCTCTAGGAAGTTCTGTAGGCAGTGTAAACGGATACCACACCTGCAAAGGTGAGAATGCCATTTCAACAGTGCCTCTCTGTTGGGTGTTTTAGGACAGTGTTCATGTTTGCATCTGTGTATGTTTCCATATGTGTGGAAGAACTGCTGCCAGGATGGGTGTGAGGGTAAAATTCTGGGGAGAAGCAAGTGATGCCTCTTTGTTTGCTAGCTATAGGCTAAACAGTTTGGCAGCCAGTGAAATAAAGGAACGTACTAAGGAAATAAACTGGACCATTAGATAAGACCATGAGGAAAGATTCTGAAGATAATACATGTGAATCTTTGAATTATAAAGAAGCTATACAGGACAGGTAGTCTAGTCTGGCCCTCAACCTCCCAGTTAGGTAACTTTTCTCTAGTTTAGAGAAAAAGGAGCAGAAGAATACCCCAAAACTTAATTTTCATCACTCTTGTTGTTCCCCTGTTTATTTAGCATTTTATTTATACATCTGAGTATATAATACCAAAATCAGAAAGCAGATTAATGAAAGCTCTTTTGCTTTGTGGATGTAAACAGGAACTTTTATGTGATTTAGCAGGAAGGTAATCTCTAGTTCACTAGAAGGAGTAGGAGAGGTGCTTAATCTTGATAAGAATTTAGTAGTTAGGAACCAGTGGGTTTGCTTGGAGACCTGATTTCTGTTTCTCTCATACTAGATCTGACGGAGATTCAATGTGACATGTCAGATGTAAACTTGAAATATGAGAAACTTGGGGGAGTACTTCGAGAACGCCAGGGAAACCTTCAGACTGTCCTCAGCAGAATGCAGGAAGTTCAGAAGGAGGCAAGCTCAGTCCTGCAGTGGCTGGAATCTAAAGAGGAAATCCTGAAAGGCATGGATGCCTCTTCATCTCCAACAAAGACAGAAACAGTGAGAGCCCAAGCTGAATCTAACAAGGTACTGTTAGCTGCATCCCAAACACTGAAGGGAAGGGGCTGTTGTACCAGTGTTCCTGCCTGAGCCCAAAGATGTGAGGTGAGACATGAGTAACCATCCTAGTCATGATGAGCAGTATGCTTAATGTGCCTAAACTCTCCTACAGAATTGTCTTACCTGTGAAATTGTTACAAGTCAGTTCAGAAACCAAACCAGGTGTGTTTCCAAAGAGAATAGCCCTCCTCAGAAGCATGAGCTCATCGAGAATGGGATCTCATTTTTTATGATGCTGCAAACCAAGCCATTCTCATCTAAGCACCTTTCCAACTCTTGGAGAGCTCAAAATAAACTGTGATTACAGTTCGTTCTAAAGCTTGACATATTGGACTAAGAAAAATATCAGAATAAAATCATACAGAAAATCCTGTAAAAATTTTTTACCAAAATTTTTTATGTTCCAATTGAGTATAGCATGTCACCTCCAGCTATATAAACATCATCATCATCATGATTGTATCCTGACACTTTTAGTTTTTTGGGAGTAATAATTCCTTTTTATTGGGTTCTACTACTGTGTTGAACATAAATTCAGATTCTGCCATCTAGATTTTCATTTTAAAGTAAAAATTGAAGCAGAAAGGTTAAGTATCTTAAAATCACTAAACAAGTCATGAATAGAATCGGAAGTAGAGTCTATAATTACTGCCCTGTCTTCCAGTCATTTGCTCCTCACTCATATCTTGGTTTCTTGTCCAGAAATCTTATGGCATACATGATGTTCTTTCTCCTAGGCTTTCCTGGCTGAATTGGAACAGAAGTCTCCAACAATCCAAAATGTAAAGGAAGCCCTGGCTGGATTACTGATAACATATCCCAACTCACAAGAAGCAGAAAACTGGAAGAAAATGCAGGAAGAGCTTAGTAAGTTATCACAGGGGTGTTACAGATTGACCTTGCCTAAATTGCTTATCTTAAAAAAAAAAATACAGAATTTCAGCACATTGTATGGAGCAGGAATTACTTTTAGTTAATTTTTATAAGCAAATAAAAGGCTTACATAGGGTCAGAGAGTGAGCTTGATTAGGGAAAAAATTTAGAGATTCCGCTCAAAGTGTCAGAAGTTTGGCTTTCTTGGACAAGTCAAAGTGACAGTCTGCTATGATCAAGAACTAAAAGTATTGATAATAATAATGAAAAATGGGAAATAATTAAATAGCCAATGAAGGGATTAAATAAATTATGCTATGTTCATAATGTTGAACTACAGATGATATCAATGAATACTTATTGATATGAAAAAACTTATTGGCATCAAAGATGTTTACAATATAGAAAGTTTTAAAAACATGCTATAAAATAATATCTATATAAGATATTTTCTGCGTCTATATGTAGTTCTGTGCAATTTTATTGCATGTCTAGTTTCATATAACCACCACTACAATCAAGAGACAAAACTGTTTGTTATTTTAGTTAAAATTAAATGAAAGTTATTTTTAACTTTAAAAAATATTTAAATAATGCTCCAGGGGTCATTTCCTGTAGTTTATTAGAAACATAATTCAGGGCCTAGGCCTGTGGCTGATGAGAGGAAAGGAATACATTTTCTCATTTCCTCTCTACAGATTCCCGATGGGAAAGGGCCACAGAGGTGACAATGGCTCGGCAAAGGCAGCTAGAGGAATCTGCAAGTCATCTGGCCTGCTTCCAGGCTGCAGAATCCCAGCTCCGGCCCTGGCTGATGGAGAAGGAACTGATGATGGGAGTGTTGGGGCCCTTGTCTATTGACCCCAACATGCTGAATGCACAAAAGCAGCAGGTCCAGGTGAGCAACATACCTCAATGCTTTAGCGCAAAGAAGTTGGCGTCACATGAACCTGGGTTTGAATGCTGCTCTCAGCAAGTAGATTTCATATGACCCTGGTCAAGTCATTTAACTCTCAGTCTCATTTCCTCAGTTTAAGTGTGATATTTCTAACATCTTTATCATGGTGCCTGTTGAATAGTAAATAGTCAGTAGCTGTATTATTAATATCATCAACAGACAGTAAAATGAAAGGAAGCGAGAATGGGAACTTCTGACTAAATTCTAGAATCATATTTCACTTATAATCCCCAGTAGTCATCCACATTACTTAATGCAACATCTTTCTTGTATCATCTTGCTTTACTTAAAGATTTTCTGCTGATCAAACCTCATAAGAATTTATTTAAGTGCCAAATATCATAAAACTTTAGATTGGTCAAATTATGGCATTTCCAATGAAATTCTGCTTAGAACCTTTCTTTGCTCTGCATTACCCCTTAAGCTTGTTTCATTTCTTCTCACCATCCACAACGTCCCCTAAGTTAAGACCTGAGTAGTTTTTGAAGGAACCCTTTCTTTTAGACCCTGTATCCAGTTAATAATCAAGTGCTATTTAGTGTACTTACAAATATTTTTCTAACCTAGTGGTTTTCAGACTTTTAAAAGTCAAAGCCCTTTTATACTCTTAAAACTCATTGAGGACTCCGAAGAGCTTCTGTTCGTCTATGGCTATCTGTTGGTAATCTGTTGGTATTTATTGTATTAAAACACTGCGAATTTTCTAAATGTATTTATTAATTAATTTTAAATTGATAGAACCATAGAATTAACATAAGTAATGTATTTTTATGAAAAATACATTTTTGAAAATAAATATAGTAAGAGTTGCATTGTTTTATATCTTTGCAATTCTCTGTAATATCTGACGTAATAGAATATTTTCATGGATCTTCTTTTCTGCTTCTGCATTCAGTCTCTTTTGATCTCAGATGTCATGGAGATTCTGAAAACTCCATTGAACACTTGTGAGAGAGTAAGAATTTTAAAAGGCAAATAACATCTTAGTAGTATTTTGAAAATAGCTTTGACCTCATGGATTCCTGGTAGGACTCCTCGAGGCCCTTGGATCATAATTTGAGAACCACTGCTCTGATCCTTCTCTTCTCCATTCTGAACACCTCAGGTAGGCTTAATTTCAGGCCTGTATCATTGCAACAGTCTCATAAAGAGCTTCTTTGTCTAGTCTCTCCTTTACCCAATTATCAAATTATCTCTTTAAATCGTGTATCTGAATGTATTAAAATACTTTAGTGGCTCTTGGCTGTGCTTTAAACAAAGCCCAAATACCTGCTCAATGTGGTATATAATATATATGGCTTTTCACAGTCTGGTCCCAGTTTGTCTTGTCAGCCTCATTTTTAGCTCTTTCTCCATATTCCCACGTTGCTACCCACACCAGATAGCGTGTTCTTTCCTGAACACGCCACACTCATAGAGCCCTGTGCCTTTGCTAATCCTAGGGCCTTCCCCTGAACAAGCCTGACACTCTGCTCCCTTGGAGAACTACATATTCTTTATTGTGTCATCTGTGAAGGCTTGCCTGATTTCCCTCTTCTACTTTTTTCATCCCCCACAGAATTAATTACCTTTACTCCTTGATTTCACAGTTCCATGTTCACATCAGTGTTTTCTCATTTTTATTTTTGTCATGTTCTACTATTATTCATTATTTATATATCTGTTCTTCCTTGAAGTTGTGTCTTATTTTTTACAGTGTAAGTGCTAAGTACTCTCTTAATCCTTACAACAGCCAATTTAAGTGCTTTATTATCTTATTTTACAGCTGAGATTTAGAGAACTTTTAAAAAGTTGCCTATCCCTGGCCAACATGTCTCAGTTGGTTGGAACATCATCCTGTAACACTGGAAGGTCATGGGTCAATCCCTGGTCAGGGCACATGCCTAGGTTGCCAGTTCAATCCCTGATCAGGGTGTGTACAGGAGACAGCCAATTAATATTTCTCTCCCACATTGATGTTTCTCTCTCCCTTCCTCTCTTTCTCTTAAAAAGGGGAGGAGGGGGAAGCAATGGAAAAAGGTCCTCAGGTAAGGATTAAAAAGATAAAAAATAATAAGTTGCCTAAGTTTATATAGCCAGTGAGTAATGGAGTCAGAATTTGAACTCAGGCAGTCTAATTCCAGAACCTATAATCCTAAATTCCTTGGTAAGTGAAGCAGTGAATAGAAAAGAATAAAAAGACATAGTACTTTCTTTAAAGGAATTTATTATCTAATTGTACTGTATTATAATGTACAGGTTGTATATGCTATTGGAATTCTGAGAAAGAAACTAAGAAAAACAGAGGTATTGAGATTTGAAATGGCAAGCCCAGCCAGTCATATAGCTGGCTCTGGGATCTAGGGTTGCCAGTTCAGAGGCCTGGGTTTTGCCTGGAAAAGCTGATGAGTGCCAGTCGAGAAAACAAACTGGTTTCCCAGCCAAGGCCAACCTTAGTAACCAATGTTGAAACACAGAGTAGGACAGAGAAATAAAAGAAATTAAATAGACAATCATCCTTTTAAAACAAGTTTTTATTAAGCAGTTGTTACAAATAATACTGTATTATCCTAATAACCTGGTGCTTGGAGTTTTCTAGTTTATTTTCAAAAGAAGTTGGCACCACTTGGCACAATCCAAAATCAGTTTTTGTTTTGACATTGTATGTAGATTTGTCTTTTCTCTCTAAATACCCTGGTGTCATTTCTATTACAGTTTATGCTAAAGGAATTTGAAGCACGCAGGCAACAGCATGAGCAGCTAAATGAGGCAGCTCAGGGCATCCTAACAGGCCCTGGAGATGTCTCTCCATCCACCAGCCAAGTACAGAAAGAACTCCAGAGTGTCAATCAGAAGTGGATTGAGCTGACTGACAAACTCAATTCCCGTTCCAGCCAAATTGACCAAGCTATTGTCAAAAGCACCCAATACCAGGAACTGCTCCAGGACTTATCAGAGAAGGTGAAAGTGGTTAGACAGCGACTGAGTAGCCAGTCAGCCATCAGCACTCAACCTGACGCTGTGAAGCAGCAGCTGGAGGAAACCAGTGAGATTCGATCCGACCTGGAGCAATTAATCCATGAGGTTAAGGAGGCGCAGACACTCTGCGATGAACTCTCAGTGCTCATCGGTGAGCAGTACCTCAAGGATGAGCTGAAGAAGCGTTTGGAGACAGTTGCCCTACCTCTCCAAGGCTTAGAAGACCTTGCAGGTGAGTTGGGTTGAGGAATACACTGCTGCCATTATTAGTGGCAAACTAAAAGAAGGAATAGATTAGTGGTAGTCCTAAGAATCTAGGATGACCTTGAAGTAGCCTTTGGACTCAGAATAGTGTTAACCTGTCCCTTTGTCCAACTACAGTGAGACCTGCCATGGTCATTACACATTGATTGGGCACTAGTGATATGTGAAGTGCTACATAGTACATCAGTGTTCACAGATGTACTTATAGGTGGAGTAACATACCTACTTTCATTGATGATCACTTTGTTATACCATGCACCTATACATACATACATATGTACGTACATACATATAGAAAATTAGAACATGTTGAGGACTTCTTATTGTGGCCTTGTACAAGAAAAATTTTGTCATTAATTCATTGCCTCTTTTTCTAGAAACATTTATGTGTTTTTACCAACTTAGCACCTAATGTGTGTTTTGTTATTCAGAACATCTTACAAGATTGAAGTGATTATTAAATAAGATATGATATGTGAAAGTTAGACCATATATTCTCAGCAAACATTTTAAGTGCCATGTCTAGACTTGATTGATTTACGTTTGATTTTCTCACTTTAGCTGATCGCATGAACAGACTCCAGGCAGCTCTTGCCAGCACCCAGCAGTTCCAGCAAATGTTTGATGAGCTTAGAACCTGGTTGGATGACAAACAAAGCCAGCAAGCAAAAAACTGCCCAATTTCTGCAAAATTGGAGCGGCTCCAGTCTCAGCTACAGGAGAACGAAGAGTTTCAGAAGAGCCTTAACCAACACAGTGGTTCCTATGAGGTGATTGTGGCTGAAGGAGAATCTCTGCTTCTTTCTGTGCCTCCTGGAGAAGAGAAAAAGACTTTACAAAACCAGTTGGTTGAACTCAAAAGCCATTGGGAAGAGCTCAGTAAAAAAACTGCAGATAGACAGTCTAGGCTCAAGGACTGTATGCAGAAAGCTCAGAAATATCAGTGGCATGTAGAAGACCTCGTGCCATGGATAGAAGATTGTAAGGCCAAGATGTCTGATTTGCAGGTCACTCTGGATCCAGTGCAACTGGAGTCCAGTCTCCTGAGATCAAAGGCTATGCTGAGTGAAGTGGAAAAGCGTCGCTCCCTGCTGGAAATATTGAACAATGCTGCTGACATTCTGATCAATTCTTCAGAAACAGATGAGGATGATATCCGAGACGAGAAGGCTGGGATTAACCAGAACATGGATTCTGTTACAGAAGAGCTACAAGCCAAAACAGGATTGCTTGAAGAAATGACTCAGAGACTCAAGGAGTTCCAGGAAAGCTTTAAGAATATTGAAAAGAAGGTTGAAGGGGCCAAACACCAACTTGAGATCTTTGATGCTCTCGGCTCTCAAGCCTGTAGCAACAAGAACCTTGAGAAGCTAAGAGCCCAACAGGAAGTGCTGCAGGCCTTGGAGACCCAAGTAGACTATCTGAGGAACTTGACTCAGGGCCTGGTAGAAGATGCCCCAGATGGATCTGATGCTTCCCAACTTCTACTTCAAGCTGATACCACCCAGCAAGGGTTCTTAGAGGTGAAGAAAAGAGTGAACAGTGTTTGCATGATGATGGAAAACAAGCTAGAAGGGATCAGTCAGTTTCACTGCCGAGTCCGAGAGATGTTTTCTCAGTTGGCAGACCTGGATGATGAGCTAGATGGCATGGGTGCTATCGGAAGAGACACTGACAGCCTCCAGTCCCAAATTGAGGATGTACAGCTATTTCTTAACAAAATCCAAGTGCTCAAGTTAGACATAGAAGCATCTGAAGCAGAATGCCGACAAATGCTGGAGGAAGAGGGGACTCTGGACTTGTTAGGTCTTAAGAGGGAGCTAGAAGCCCTGAACAAACAGTGTGGCAAACTGACAGAAAGGAGTAAAGCTCGTCAGGAGCAGCTAGAGCTGACATTGGGCCGAGTAGAGGACTTCTATAGGACATTGAAAGTACTCAGTGACATGACCACCGCAGCAGAGGAGGGAGAGGCCCTCCAGTGGGTAGTGGGGACTGAAGTGGATATCATCAACCAACAATTAGCAGACTTTAAAGTAAGTCTTGTTTTTTACTCTTTTTCTGTCTAATACGTGTATTTCTATTCCTGTAACTTAGAAACCAGTAGTGTATACATCTTAACTTCTGTCCCAGCTTCATTATTCTCACTTCCATCACCATCAAAATGTACTTTTTTGGACACTAAACAGTTGCTTGGACTTCTGAGTAACTGGTTTGAATATATTTCTAATGTAATTTATTTTGGCATTTACAACCAATTAAGGGTATAGAAAGAAATGTCCATATCTTATCTCTTACTCTAAGACTCTCCTCTTACAAAATTCTGGAGATTTTAAATTAACCAATTCAAAAATAGTAGTGAGCCCTGGCCTGTGTGGCTTAGTTGGTTGGAGAATGATCCTGTAGACTGAAAGATCATGGGTTCAATTCCTGGTCAGGGTGCGTCCAAGAAAACAACCTAATTGATGTTTCTCTCTTCCATCAACATTTCTCTCTCTCTCTCTCTCTCTCCCTCTCTCCCCCTGTCTCTTTCCACTTCCCTCCTCTTCTAAAAGCATGAGATGATGTCCTCGGTGAGGATAAAAAAAAAAAGAGCATTGAATGTTTGTTCCTTCAGGTTTCTGTTCTTCAGATTGAGGTATAAGAAGCCATAAGATAAACATGGGCTCCTCTTCCTAAAGTGTTGATTTTTTCACAGATTTCAAGGGGAAATTATTGGTGTATTATTGATGTATTATAGAATGAAATGCAAAAATCTCATGAATTATTAACATAAAACATGGCACTTCAAAGACGTTTTTCACTCGTAACAAGTAGCTTAACACTATACCCCGGACTCCTCAAGAATACAAGTTCTCTGCCTATAGGAGAGTTTAAGAAGCACTACCTTAATTGAAAAAAAGGTCTTAATTCTTTTCCTGAGGCAGAAGCACTAATCCTGAGATTTTGTGAGTCTAATTTAAAACAACAGGGGAAGATGAAAGGAGTTGACTCAAAATATGAATTTGGTGAGTCTGGGTCTCAGAGGTCTTAGAATTGACTTTGGGTCTTTGCTCTCACTGCATTAGCCTTTTACCCCGAGAGATCACCTTGTTGTAAGTACCAAAAAGTGTCTCATCCTACTGCTGGAGGCTTCTCTGCTGCTGCTTCCTTCTTCATGCATGGAATAGATTTGGAAAGGACATTTCCAGCACTTTATTTCCATCACTAGTGTTAATCATTGCCACTTACACTGTTAACGCTCCTGCCATCACTGTTTTGTTTTCTCAAGTCCCTTCCTGTCAGGATTCTTCCTGTTAAAAACATGGGTGGAGAGGTGATTGTCATCAGGTCAGAGCCATGAGATATCCTGAGAAAGATCACAAATTTGTAGAAAGATCCAAGTTCAGAAAGGTGGCTGTTTCAGAAGGGCCCCTCTTGGAGTTGACAGTATGTTGAACACTAAAGTGAGACACTGGCTAAAGGCCCTTTACCGTGTTTGGAAATAGTGCAGTTTGGAGCAACACAAGTCGTCATATTTGGGTTCTTGAAGCACCCAAGTAAGGAAAGGATAGGAAGAGAAAATTCAAACCCATGAGCCCATTTGTTTTTCTCTTAGAAAGTCCCACACCTCTGTTCTAGTGCAGAGTGGTGTTCCCTGCTTCACCATCCGTGATTCCCTTTCCTCTTCCATTGTGAGCTCCTCGAAAGCAAAGATTCTTCTATAGGCATGCTTCATTGATCCAATTTACTTGAATTTGGGTTGCTCTAACCAAACTAACTGGATTTCTTAGAAAACTAAAGCTTATCCCTTTAGGCTTCAAAATAGTTTTATCAACTAGATTCTGGTTTATATGGGAATTATTTTACATTCTATTTGCCTAATTTTCTAAACACTGTATTGTGCATAATTTTTCTTTCAGTGCAGGTTAACATTACTAAAAAAATGATACTGGTCTCTACTGTGGTGATATCCTCAGGAATATTAGAGATATTTGGGACTGCTTTATATTAAATGTTCCTAAATTACTGTGTAGTTTGAGTTCTGTGTTGAAGTTTTTGTTTAAGGCCTCTACCTCACTGTACTGGTTGGACTGGCGGTTTGTATGTATGGGGCAGTGTGTAGTTTTTGCTTTTTCTCTATTACCATGATATCAGATAGTAATTCTTATTGCTATTCTCACTACTGTCACTGGGCCTGCCTCTAGCAATTTTCCCCTTCCTTCTCATCTTCAGTGAGATAGAAAATGAAGTTAACAAGCATGTTAAAACTGTGTTAAATACGAGATTTTTTAAAAGAATTTTATGAAGAATCCACAGGTAGGCATATATAGCGTTTGTATCTGAGAACAAGTAATCATTTCCTTTTCATTTAATCTTTGGTTTCTAGAGATCTGAATTTTGATGATGCTGGAAGGTTTTAAGAAATTGCTGGACTTCACCATATTTTATTCATATGTTGCCTAGTTGTGGTCAGGTTTCAATAGCAACTTAGTTGCTTGTTGTAGCAATCTTGTTTCACTGACTTCTAAGAATAAGCTTCCTACCACCAATACTGTGGAACTGAAGGCTAGGACCAGACACTGATGAGCTGGTCACCTGCAGAGTGTGTTTATCTGCAGGTGACTGGTGTCGACTGGGCAAAACTGCAAGAACAGTGAGAAGAGAGTGGTAAAGTTCTGTGTCATCTTTCTATCCTCCTCAAGTCGGGGATGGAAATGAGACATCTGGTTCCACCTTATAAGGTCCACCTTATCAAGTCAAAGGTTTGGGGGAAAGTTTCTGTTTCCTCCCAGCAAAGGTCTTTGGTCCTGAGGGGAGGCACATGCTCTTGGCTTAGTTCCCGTTGAGCTCATGGGAAGTGAAAACAATGAGAGGGGAAAAGCTCTAGGTTAGTTTCCTAGTTCCCTGGAGGCTGAGTAAAGGGAAGGCCTTCTTGGACCCATTTGGAGGACTGTGTCATTTTCATGATTTGAGAGTTGAGTTGCTGGGTTAAGAAGGTTCAACAGTAGATAAACTTCCCTCACCAGCAACATACTACATTCATAAAGTGTGATTCTTTCATATTCAACTTTTTTAAAAAGGAAAAAAGAAAAAAGAAGATAAGTATTAAAAAAACAGCATTAGCTTTTTTAGCTCTTTCTTTTTATAATGGGATCATCCTCTGCTGAAGAGAAGAGAATGTAAATCTGTGACATGGGCTTTGCTTTGACCCAGTTGACTCCACTAGGGATGGATGGACTAGACAGATGAGTCAAGTCTGTGGAGAACCTCGGGCTTACTTGGGACTGTGCAGGACTGATAAATGCATGGAGAGGCAGTTAGCCTGAGAGAAAATGTATTTCCTCCTTAAATGAATATGAAAAACTGAAAGTCATTACCCTTAGGAAAGACTTTTTCCCTTGATTGCTTCTAAATAATTGATAGAATGCGGCCAGCCACTGAGGATCTATCAGATGAGAATGAAATAGAGTCCTCTTCCGATCTAAACAGGCAAAGACCTTAAGGCACTTTACTGGGTTCTGCTCTCTGTTGGAAGTAGAAAGGAAGAAACCATTCTAGAACTCACAAATGAGAATTCTGAACATGCTTTCAGAAAACTGGAAGGAAAAGACTTAGACTGATCTCTTCAGGAAATTCTGTTTTCCTGAACAAGAGAGTCTGTGATTATCTAGGAAAAGGAATTGTGTGTACATAACAGGAGGCTAACAAAGAAAAGAGGGACCTTTATTTCACTATAACTTAAGCCAAACAGTTCCTCCAAGGTGAACTTTCTGGGAAGGGTAGAAAAAGACTTGAAATTTGGAGATGAAATGTATTAAGTCTGGAAATAATAAAAGGCTTTCCTCATTTTGAAACTCTCCCTATGTAGATTTTGTAGTCAAGAATTGAGATCATTTCGAATCTTGACTTGTCCCCTGCACCCCTCTTGCCTCCCCATGAACCAGCCTGGCCTTTCAGTCTGGAAATACGAGGTGGTGTTGGCATCCTAATGGTGAGCAGTAGCAAGAACCCTGGATGTACCATCATGTACTCTGTATTTCGTATATATTCATACTTATTATGTATTTAAGCTAGGCTTCAGACTTGAGACTCTACCACTCATTCATAAGAAAAAACAAGTGGGAAAAATGGAAACTTTTTTAGGATCCATAGGTTTCTCAAAAGGTTCACATCACCTGATAATGCATTTGAAGCAGCCAAGCCAGTCAGTTTTTTCCCTTTCCTGTCTTTGAGGTTAGGCTGGTGAGATATAGGTGAGGCAGCAGGTTTCCCTAGGACTGTTCTCAGTCCTAATTCAGGTTGAGCCAAGCCCAGGGTCAGTGACTGCATCTACTTGCAACTTCTGTTTGGAGACCTCAGCATCCTACTGTGAAGCCAGAAGAAGAGAGCCCTGTAAACCTCTTCATTTGATTTTTTTTTTTTTTTTTTTTTTTTGGTCTCATGGAAAGCAAGATTAGGCTTCCCTATGAGCATATGTGAAAACTCTGGAAGACAAGGCCTGACACGGAGCTGAAAGACTGCCAATTTGCACAAAGATACTTATTCCTTCCTTTCAAATAATTACAAAGGCAGTATCTGCCCATCTGTGTTTTTGCCAGTCAGAGTTACTAGAGAATAAAGCAATTGAGGTCGGCATTATCTCCCTGCCCTTGGAGAGAAAGGAAATCACATTTGGTGTGACCTTTCTGTCACCTGGAGGTTTAGGTATCTCAGCTTTACAGCAGCCAAGATAAGTTGAATAGGCGTCCCCACCCCCACCTTGGCTTGTCTTGTCCAGGGTTATTTTTTCCCTTCCAGGGTCCAAAGAAGTAAAGAGAATGCTCTAGAACAGAGTCTCCACCTTGGCACTCAGCTGTTAACTTTTTTGGCTGGATAATCCTTTGCTGTGGGGAGCTGTCCTGTGCCTTGTAAGTTTGGTGGCACCCCTGATCTCCACCCAATAGGTGCCAGTAGCTACCCTTCCCCAGTGTGAAAACCAAGAATGTCTGTAAACATTGTCAGATCTTCCTAAAGGCAAAATCTCCCTCAGTTGAGAACCACTGCCCTAGAAGAA